AGGTTTCTAAAATTAGGAATAATGAAGAGTAAACGTGAATAAACAGATTAGTAAAAAATCGCGTTGTCTGCCAATTGGACTGTCACGTCATTCTGCCAAACAATTCGGTGCGTAGCTTCGGTGTAACTATCATTACTCTTTACTTCACTAATCAGATGAAACCGAGAGTTGAGCGGATTTAGTTCCTTGTATGTGAGGTTTTTTTCTAAGGGCTTGTTTGGTTGAATTATTTTATTACAATTTTCTGTTTTGTAATAAATAAAATTCATATAGACGTAGTAAATATATATATATATATATATTGTTTGGTTGATAGTCTTTTATAACTGTTTTATGAAAACTCAACAAAGAAAATGTTTGTTTCTAAGTTATTGGAAAAGTGTTTTAAGTAAGAAATCAAGCTGTCTTATGCCTCTGTTTAAAAATGGATTACTAATAATTCATTGTCATTAGACCAAATTGCACTAATAAATAATAAAGTATCTTTTTATTTTTATTATTTTAAAACAAGGTCAATACAAATTTAAATCTTGCATGGACACAAGTACCGCGTTTTAAAAAATGGGTCAATACTTAACACGACAAAACATATTTAAGTCAATCTGAACACAACATAACACGTTTAGCTAAACATGTCATTTCTAATATGAACACGATACGTTTAGGGCTAGCTTGGTATAGTGGAATGAATGGGAATGGAGGTGAGAATAGTCATTCATTTTGTTTTAAGGTGGAATTATTTTGATGGAACGACCATTCTCCAAGAATAATGGGGAATTATAATTCGAACTTTAAAATTGGCACAAACACGAGAATGAAAAAAAAAAAAAACTATTCCATTCCACTTTCTTTTATTCCATTTCACTGTATCAAACTAGCCCTTAGTTAAATGGGTAATAAATAAATTGGCAGGTCAAGCATGGACACAATACATTTAATTACCGTGTCAAATTGGATTGATACGATTATGACCCGAATATGATTAAGTCAAACTCAAACTCATTTATCTCGTGTCGTGTTAACATATCGTGTGAAGTATTACTATCCCCGCCATAGCAACCCAAACCCGCTATTGGGCGTTGCGTTCACCCACTTAAATCTTTTTCAGGGTTCACTAGTCATGTTTAACTTGATGGATTAGTGTGAGTCTCAATATATAAATCTTCAGAGTTCAGTCCAACGTGACCAATCAAGTACAAATATATATTTTTTAAGTTTGAGTTGGGTTAGTAATATGTATTATATTTTTTTCTCCAGTCGACTCTTGTTATTTGATAATTCAATTCAGTGCTTTAGAATAAGCGTTACTTAATTAAATGTGTTTGATAACGTAATTTGAATATCATTTAAAATGGTAAGCAAACCCACTTAGAATGAGATTCAATTTTAAATGACAGGAACATTACTTATTATTCAATACTAAACATTAAAAATTAAAAAATATATAAAATATTTTTTTATTATCACTTAAACATTTCGACTTTTAAAAATTTTCAATTTTATTAAATAGCCTATATATAAAGTTGGATTACTAATATTTCAATAATATAGTATCATCATAAATAATGGTGGTGATCATGTTTGGTTTGATCTCTATTTGGTGTTAGTACAGAGGACCAAACACCAAGAAGTCATTCACCTGTTCAATCTTCTATTAATGTTGTGATTGAACTTCGTAATTAAATTTTCAGTAAATATGATTATAAAATGTTATGTCTTAACACCATCAATGTTAATTAATAATAATAATGCTTTGGTTAACATTGTAGAAGGAAAAATGTTCCAAAATTATGGTTAAAATTGCATAGACATGCTAATCATATATGCAGTTTTTAATTCATTTATTATTATTATTATTATTTTTTTTTGTGCATTTTGTGGATGTAGGAGACACATTGGGCCGACTGGGATTTATTTGTGTTACATTAATTATTAACACTCTCTCATGCAGGGTTGTACATCTGTTTACAAGCACTTTAATATAAAATTTCATAAAATTTGCAAAATTGCATCTCAGATTTTTCAAAATCTCTTTATGGTTAGGACTGACAACTCGTCTTCGCAGGACATGATTGCGTTGTGTCGTGTTGACTTAAAGGTATTGTATTAAATAACTCAACCCAAACATAACCCGTATAATATTCGTGTCAAAAATCTTTAGCACTAACTCAACTTGTTTATTAAACGAATCACACATATAATCCGTTTAATTACTTATTTATTAAAATAAAAAATTATATTATTTAAATTATTAATAATACTCAATCAAACTATAATTACTATAAAATTTTAAGCTTCAATCCAACCAAATTAATAAATAGTCTTTAAAATACAAAAGAGAAATTATAAGACACAAGTTTAGATGGTAATTTTAGAACTTAAATGTAAATTTATTTATGACGCGTATAGTTAAATGAGTGTTAACGGGTTATACGGGTTAAACTATCTCATTCAAAACACAACACGATTAACTAGTTAATCGCGTCGACCCGTTTAAGATTTAAATTTGTTTAAGATTAATACAAACCCGTTTAAAGCATATCGTTTTCAATTTGTGTTGGTTTGTCGAACTTTGCAATCCCTATTTATGGTATTTGAAAATTGTTGTACTTTTTCATTTCATTTAAATTTTTTATTTATGGAACGACACAAGCATCCTTCAGACAAACACTAACTCCACAATTTTATTTTATTTAAAAAATAATAATTACACTCCGAGGGGTGATTTTGAATGTTATATATGTATTAAAGTGGATGCTAAAAGTAATAAAGTGTGATGCCAACATTGAATTATTGCAGTCATAAATTTTAAAAATAATTGTTATTTAGAGGTAATGTAGTAATGTTTGAGCAGATATCTCGATAGCCCAGTAGATAGCACCTCCGGTGAATTTTGAGAGTGTCAGGTTTTAACTATTTGCACATACTAATATAACTTCTAACCCTTTTATATTTACAATAATTTAAAACCTACACGTGATCAATATCTAATATTAATTGTAAAATAAAATTTTGTTACTGTATATTTCCACACAAAACTAGTTATAATGTAGGGGTGCACACAGTTTCAGTTCGTATGAATCGGAACCGTTCCAAACAGTTCATAAAAATTGGAATCGGTTGCGGTTGCGGTTTCGATATATTTTTTTTTTTTTCTTCTTTTGAATAATTTAATAACTCTAAACCCACTTGCAGGTTAAAGCACGCTTAACTCTGAAATTCTGGTGAGAGGTTTACGGCTATCACGGATTAAAAATGTGTTAAGTCATAGAAGGGTGTAGAATCTATATATAACACTTCACATTTTCCCGCCCGATGTGAAATTATGACACTCTGTAGTCTAGACTTGTAAACGGGTCATATTCAGACCGAATCAGTGCCGATTCGATCTGAATCCGATAAGGATGTGCTCAAACCGATCCAATATGATAATCCGACAGGTATTTTGTGAATAAATCCATATCAATTTGTTAATAAACGGATATCCGATTCGATAATCCGATCCGATAAAGGAGTGTGTGTACAATTTTATTTTATTTTATAAAAAAATTACGTCAAAAGGGATTAAAAATAATAAAAAAGATAAATAAAATACAAAAAAGAAAATTATATATTTTATTCTCTGTTAAAGAATAATTTTTTTATTTTTTAAAAAACAAGAGAGTGAAGAAAGATGAGAAAATAATTAAATATTTTTATAATATATAAATATTATATATTATAAAATTAGATTATATATGCTTGATATATTATATAATATATTATTTCGGATTTGATTGTTATCAGAACGGATCGACCCTAATCCATATCCAATTTGTTTAGCTAACGGATTATCGAATTTGGATCGTTAACGGATTATTGGATTAAATATTCAATGCATATCCGAATTATCGGATGGGATTTGGATCAAAATCTGATCAATTGACAGGTTTATTGTAGCCTGTTAGTGCCCACCCATGTCATATTTGCCCACAGAGGTATTATTCTAAGTCTGGAACCGGAATCGTCCCCAACGGTTCATATAAACTAGAAATGAAACTGTTAGGAACCGTAACCGAAGCATCGATTCCGATTCCTAACAGTTTCGCCCATTTTTTGTGCACCAGTATATTTTTGAAAATGTAATTTAATTAATTTGGTAAATTATGTATTGTCCGATTGTCCCCTAGAAGCATAAAGTAAAATTTTGGTTCCATTACTTATATCTCAATTGTTTTTTTAACGATTGTTGATCATTTACCATGTTCAATCATCAATCTATATTATGGCAAAAGATAAAATAAGAAACATGGTTATGGTGTTGAATAATACATACGCCATACCTAATTAAAATTTTAAAATTAGGCAAAAATCTAGTAATATATGCAAGAAATTACTCTCTTTTGGTTTTTCATTTCAACCATAATTTCAAAATAATATAATAGCTACTGTACTACTATTTAATATTTTTCGTTTAAATTTCAATAAAGGTTAAAAATACTATTATTCTTTCTCTGGACAAAGTGCAAAAAATTCCTTGTTAGATACAAATATCCCCCGTGTTAAAAGAATTCCCTATATTTTTGAAATTGAGCAAATAATGATATTTTGTCAATTTGAAAAAAAATAAAAATTTAAAGATTAAAATAAATAAAATAGCCTTAAGACCGAAAAAAAAAAATCAGTTTAAAGTATATATTAAGGGTATTTTGGGGATTGCATAAAATTTATTTATTTATTTGTTCGAAGTTATCGTCGACAAATATTATAAGGTAATATTAGAGATTTATATACTCTTGCTTTTTATATAACAATAATTTATTTATTTATTTATTTTTGCAGTTCCTTTTAACACTAATTTTCTCTTCTTATTTATTTCTAAAATTATCTAAATCTATAATTTTAATAGATGTTGTTTTTCTACTACTACCACATTTATCTAACGCACCGCACGTGTAAGCCGCACAAACATTGGACGTATAAGTAAACTCTCGGTGTCTCGGACTGTAATTATCGACTCACTTTCTCTCTCATTCTGGGCTAATATCGCAATTTCCGAAATCCACCAAATCTCTCTCCCTCTCCCTCTCCCTCTCTCTCTCTACCTAGTACCTACTCATCATCTCTGCTCAGCCATATCGTTCACTCATCTTTCACCATGCTTCAATTCTCTTCCACCATTTCCAGTCAGATTCGGTATCTGCTCCACAGCTTGAACGAATCCGACTCCGACTCTGTCTTTCAAGAGCTCTCCCAGGTACGCTTAACTCTCTCTCTCTCTATACGCGTTCCCGTGTATATTTAATTATACATATATGTATATACAAAGTTATGCTTTTTGTTATACACTGATCGGCATTTTTGTTCAGTCTCTCGTTTTCTCTCTCTAGAAACCCTAGATTCCTAATTTTTGACCATATAAAATCTTGCTGTGAACTGATGTAGGAGGGGAAAGAGAGAGATGGTGAGAAATTTGTGTATTAATAATCAATCTTTGTAGCATAGTAAACCCTTGTACATCATATACCTTACATAAGCAAACCCAGGCAAAACCTCAATGGAACCCCAAAACTCGAACAACCAAAAGTAGATACAGTGAGAGTTGATACATTCAAATCCCTGGAAAGTTAGAAAACCCTAAAAATAAGTTAAGATAATCCTAAAACACATCTCTACCATATGAGCCAGTAATGAACATTTGGAAATGGATTGTCGTTTCTGTTTGAACAAATCAAAGTAGATACAAGGATTGATAAATTCAAATCTCTGAAAAGTAGGATACTAAGATAATCCTGAATCACATCTCTACCCTATATTTGTCTGCACCTTTGCTTGAGTTCCGTTTTGATATCCGTTAATTATACCTTGTAGAGAAGAACTCTCATATAGAAAGTTATGGTAGTGTCATCACCACAAATCGTTTACTTTAAGAATGACAACAATATCACTAAATTAAAATTTTGAGAGGCTTCAAATCAATGTATTCAGAAAGAGACCCTAGTTTCACAGTGCTTCAAAAGGTCCAAACAGCACCATTTTTGCACAAATTGAGAGCGCAGTAGAATCATAAGATGCCTCCAAGTTATGAAAACATGTATTAAAATAGAAATAGCAGTTAGATTTCTTTAATTTTTTTTGACACAGTTGAATCTAACATCATTGTTCCAAACATATGAGTACAAATTTTCACGGTGGGCTTCTGGACCTGTTTTAATTCCTTCATGCTACTTACTCTAACAACACTACTTTGTCGTCTTCAAAGAATTTTAATCACTCAGGCATGTTTTGTTGGAACAGTGTTATTGTCCCTTATGACTTCAGTGATCCATCCAAATACTCCAGGAAAAACATCTGACACAGGGGTTTCAGATATTTGAGATGGTTCATCTGATTATTTGACGTTCTCTCATATGCCTCCTGACATGTGCAAAATGCTCACAAGATTAGTCTCAATGAAGTGTTCTTACAACTCGTTTATGGTGTCATGTCATGTCTAGTTGATTGAACACCAAGTTCTATTGCGGAATGAAACATCAGAGAAGTTATAATTGTCTTGGCCTACTGGGGAAATGATGGGTATGACAATGAACGAGGAAGGAATGCAGATATAAGGTTCAAGTCTGATGTACTTTTGGACCGTCTGAATTCTCCAAAAACCCCAAAAAGCTCTAAGCAAGCTAATTCTCCACTTGATCAATCCCACTTTTGAAAAGAAAATTCATTTTTCCCCTTTATTTTTATTTTTTTACCTACTTTTTCTTTACCAGTTTTATGTATCTGGTTGGATCATGGATTTGGCCCAACCTCTTTTTATTTTTTTATTTTTTTATCTGGATTAGGTCAAGATCTTGATTGGGGTTTGAATATGCGTTGACCGGGTATGGTTTTGGGTTGTAATTGGTGCGCTGGGTTCAAGTTGAATTTGGATTAAATATGCTGGGTTGTGGATCCATGTTGGGATGCGAATCAAGGTTATTTTATAAACCTAATTGTCCATCTCCCATTTAATTTGTAGTGTCAAAATGGAGTGGAAGAGAGGTTGGAGAGTGTAAGTCGACTGCAACTTGCTGACTTGTCAAAGTGACAACAGTGGTGCGATGGATGACAATTGATGAATTGGGGGTGATGGTGTTGACAAGAAGATGGTGGGATGATGGTTTAAGTTGGCTGATGATGCCAATGTTTGTGATGCGGTGCTGTAAATATGAAGGTGTTGTAGTGGTGAAGTCGCAGGCTTGTGGAGAGTGAAAATGCTTCCGAGGGCAGCTGTCCACGTGAAAAAGCGACGTTCAAGGGGGTTTTCGTCCTCTAAATTGCCTTCCGAGGGAAGGTTTGGCCTTGGATCACTGTGAAAAGCTCCTCTAGGGGCGCCCACCCACACCCTTTATCACCTGGTCGTAGAGCAGCGTAAAGAGATCATAAACCTCATTAAGTTCCCAATCATGAACCTCCCTACGAAACATCACATCCCAAGTCATCTGCCAATTATCAAGCCTATAACAGTCAGCCACAAGTGCATGCCTATTCGTTGATATCCTGAAAATCCAGGGGTACCTTCGAGCCAGAACAAAGTCCTGCACCAATGATCCACCCAAATTGATGTGCCTCCCACTCCCAACTCTGAACCGAATTTGTTTGGCGAACTCATCCCAACCCTTCCGGATAAGCTTCCAAATACCCACGCCCGCTGGAGACCGCACCTCCCGAGACAACCACCCTCCGTCTTCTCCCCAAAACGACAACAATGATTCTCATCCATAATCTGGATCTCTCACTCCCAAATCTCCAAAGCCATTTTCCCAACAAAGCTTTGTTGAATAAATCTAGCCTCCGAATCCCCAAACCTCCCTTTTTGATAGAGGAACACACAAAACCTCCTTTGAATCGCATCCAATCTTTGAACAACATACATAGGCATCTGGAAGAGGGACATGTAGTATGTAGGAAGATTCGCTAGGGTGCTCTTCATAAGTACCTCAGCTGTTTCACTCTCGGAATACTACTTCTGACCCTGACCTCCATACAGTCACTCGCAATAAGAACAGAATCCTGGATCTGACGCCCTCCAACAAAAGCGTTTTGGGATTCCGATATCACCTCATCCAAAACTCTCCTCAATCGGATGGCTAAGACTTTCGCCAAAATCTTGTAGACAGCACCGACCAAGGTAATTGGTTTAAAGTCCTTCACCTCAACTGCTCCACCCTTTTTTGGGATACGTGTGATAAAGGGATGCGTTGAGGCTTATATCAAAATGACCGTCTGAGTGGAATTCACTGAGAGCTCCCATCAAATGGTTTTGGGTAATGATAGATGGTTGTGAAGCAAGGTAGCGATGATCTGCAGTGAGTGCTCCCATCAAATGGTTTGGGTTAATAATAGATGGTTGTGATGCAAGGTAGCAATGATCTGCAATTTCGAGGGTAGTCTGAACCTATCATTTCATGTTTTGTGACAATGAGAGACAAACAGAAAAATCAGAGGGAGAGACGAGGGAAGTGATAGTGATATGAGAGAGAGCATATATTAAGCATTACAAAAAGGGAAAGATTTGAGAGGGACCAATTGCTTCCAAGTGGGATTGAACCCTCCCTATTGTCTTAGCATGGATTGATCCTCGAAGCTTCAGTGATTGATCCCATGTTGTCCTAACCTGTCTTTTTGTTAGAAAAGAAAGGTTTAGAAATACAATTGATTTCTTAACTTGATTTTCTTGATAAGTAAAATTCATTAAGAGGTGCGCAAAAGGGAAGTGCATCCCAAGGGCCAAGATAGCCCACTAAACTGCTATAGAATCCACAAAATCAACTATATCTAATATCACCCACGGATTTACAATTAGACCCCCGCACCCAAAAGAGTAAAAAACTAAGAATAGAGAATTTCTGCAACCATATTGAATCTCCTCCTCATCAAAGATCCTCCTATTATGCTGCTGCAAAAGGCTCCATCAAAGGCAGAGAGGTGCCGCCCTCCAAGCATCCCAGGCTTGCCTCTGAACTATACAACCTCTCACGCTGACCGTGGAATGTAGCATAACCCTCTTATTGAACTTCAAAATACCAAAACTTACTTATTTTAGGTACTTTCAAGTTCCATTAATCATCTAGGTCAATGGCAGTCCATTTATGTAATGATTAACCAACTCAAGTACAAAGTCCTAGTAAGGTCTTTCTAACCTTTACTAACGGTATGATTGAATTTGATAAGAGTCTCCAAGTTCACATGTAGTCAAAAGCCATTGCATCTCCAATCTTCACTTGGTCATTGTTCTTCTATAATAACTAGATTTATAATTGAGACTCACAGAGTTGTTCAACTTATCAAAAATAAAATAAAACTAAATAATTGTTTTGAAATTTTTTGCTGACAGAGGCTCTATTGATAAAGAATGCATATGCCTTACACATGATTTCCCCAAATTGCCTTTTGTAAGCTTACAATCTTGCTGTGTTTGGAATTAGGATATTAAACTAGGTTGTAGTTGAATCTAATGTCTATGAGTCTTGTCTTCAACTAAAGACAATGTAGATAGAGCAACGTCGAAGTTGATATAAAGAATTCATCAAGCCCAATCACATGGTAAATAAAAGACCTTAGCAGGCATAAGAATCTAAGTTGGATAACTCATTTAAATAGATGGACCATCTGGGACCGTATGTTACCTGGACTCCTCACCTGGTCACAAAGTACCAATGTCAACAATCAACATGACCCGAATACGATTGCTTGTTATGGGTGTGGCAGGGTTTTTGTCTAGACTGATGAAGCTGATGTGATGAAAAAATAAATGGAAACAAAGAAATTACTAACCTCTCTTGTGGATTTTGTTCGTTGTGACTGGGAATTTGGTCATGATGCTTTGTTGGATGTCTTGTTCATGCCACTAAAGTTGGGGAAATGTTGTCGGAATGCTGTCTGAGGCCTTTTGCTCACCGATTGAGGCGCTTGGGTTTCACTCCTTTGTGATTGTAGGCTATGTGAGTGAGCAAGATGCAGAACCCTATGATCTGTTTGTGTTTTAAAGAATAATAAGTATGACTTTATACCCCAGCTTTTCAAATAATTGTATAATTGCGTCATAAAGATACTTTTTCTTACAATTTCCAAATACGTTTTGGTTTTTATATCAATTGGACACTACCTCTTAATTTATTTTTTAGTGCTTAGACAGGCACCCTCTGGCTAAATAACTATGGCCAGGGTACTTTCAGCAAACAATGTTAAAAAGGCATTTTAGTCAAAACAACCAAGAATTTGAGTACCGAGTCCTTTGATCAATCAAACCAGGCATGAATGGATCGAACTGTGGCTTATTTGTGAAAAGAAAAAACGAAATGCAATTACTGAAGCTTGATTGATTGACCGTATTGATTGGAGGCTTTTATATATTTTTAATCTATTAAAATTTGTAGCCCCATCGATTGTGTAAGGAGCTTTGAATTATTATGATTTTTTTTTTTAAATAAATTAAAAAAAGTTACTATTTTGTTTAAGACTCCTATATTGACTATAGATACTTGGTTCTAGTCAGTTTAGGGTACACAGGTGCGAATAACACAGAGAGCATAGAGTTAACAACCAATATAGACTAGAGTTTTACATAGATAACCATCATAGTAATTAAGAATATCAAAGCATGGAGATCAATTGAAGGTCAACGATCATAATCAACCTGGTATTATTGAAAAATAAGGAATGGCGAACAACCCAGAGAGCAAACATTGTTGGGGAGCAAGTTTGTTAATTACCAACAACAGTGTTCAAGGGAGAACATTGTGTGTGGATGTTGATCATTGGTAACTAGGTTATTTTAGGGGTAGATTCTTATACCTAGATTGTAAACCTCTATTAATAATGAATTGTGTCTGCCTGAACTGAAGGATATGTGGTTTTTCTTTTTCTAGGATTTGTCACGTAAATTTTGGCGTGTTTCCCTTTCTTCGATTTGTTGCTTTATGCGTTTGGATGCATATTTGATTTTGTTTGGATTGATTATTGAGACACGTGGATTGAATAACATAATAGGAAATTATATAATCATGCAGCCAACTAATATAAAGAGGAGGAAGGTTGCGCTAGGTAGTTTGATGGCTTACGTTAACCTTTTATCATGATCAATAGTCCAAGATGATTGTGAATCTTAAGAATATCAACATGTGACTGAGATATAAGATTCATGTAGTCGACCTCTAGTATTTGGGAAAAGGCTTTGTTGAGTTGAGTGGAGTTGAATAGAGTATAAAAAAATTAAATAAATATTACTCCGCGATTATTAGTTCAAAGTTAATATCCATAAGACCTTTTCACTCCCTAGGTCTAAACAAGAACAGTGGATAATTGTTTAACCAAAAAAAAAAAGAAAAAAGAAAAAAGAAAAGAAAAGAAAAGAAAAGAAAAGAAAAGAACAGTGGATAATTTGATGTATTAAAGCCTAGGGTATGGGTCCTTAACAATGTTGCCCTCGTAGTAGTTCAAATGTAATTCTGAAGATTGATTCCATGGTTTTAGTTTGAAATTGTTGTGCGCGTGCTCTCCGAATTACTTGTCATGTGCACTGCCATTTATGAGAAGAGAGAGTATGTGCTCACATATACAGATATGCACTTTCATGTATTTGTATATATGTTTGTTCTGGGCCTAATATTTTGTTTGGTAGACATGCAGCATAAAACCTTTATAATATTGATATATAATTTTTTTTTTTTTTTGAATTACAGTTTTATGCTATGGCTTCTATAAAAAGAATTTGTGAAGCTGGCCTCAATTGTTATGATAACCAATAAGGCCTTGTTATATAAGTTGAGTTTGAATATATTTTGCAGTTCCCTTTTACTTTGCTAGTTTGCTTATAATTATAATGTGTTCTCTTCTGCAGTATGTTGAATATGGATCCGAGGGATGCATACTGCTTCTTCAAACCTGCTTTGATCACCTGAATATACATGGGAAAGACTTGAGGAATGTGCAACTGGACCCTGTATTTTCCTCAATTTTTAAGTACATCTTGGATAAACCAAATTTTAGTACAGTGTTCTGTGAGTCACTAAGAAGTACAGCAATCAATGAAGATTTTCTTGAGAATTTATCTGATGCATTTCGCTTGTCAGCATCTGAGAAAATTGGAATTGGTCTTGCTTTGTCAGATTCAGAAAGTACTGACATCAGATTGTGCGGTGAGTTTCCCTCCTCTCCTTTCTGTACTTCATTTGCTTTGTTTTTCCTTCCCTTCAATGTCATTAATTTTTGATATGGGCTTTGTATTGATGTTATTGGCTGCTTTTCAGGGAAGAACTTCTGCATTGCTCAGATTAAGGATCTGTGTGCCAATCATGTTTCTGTGGATTCTGCTGAGCAGATTCAGAATATCATTATGTTTATCCATCAATCTGAGAGCCTTTCCAGGCATGTTGATTCATTTATGCAGATGTTATCTTTAGTGCAGTTGAAGGATGGTGCCCAGTTTATATTAGCTCCATTGCTTTCAGATGAATTTCGTGAGGCCAACTTCTTTAGGTAACACGCTTTGTGTTTTTCTGTCTTCTGGAAATGGTTTGCAATTTAATTGATCTTGTTCAGTTTATCTGTTGAACATTTTGAGAATCTTGAGATCATTTTCTTTATAACTTTCTTGTTTGCTGCAGGAACATTGAACTGTACAATGAAGGGGATGAAAATGATTTTGATGCTCTTCTAGCTGAAATGGAGAAGGAAATGAGCATGGCCGATATGATTAAAGAATTGGGTTGTGGATGCACAGTTAGTGTCTCACAGTGCAAAGAGATGTTATCTCTTTTCTTACCGTTGACTGAAATTACTGTCTCTAAGATATTTGGCACAATCGCTCGCACCCATGCTGGGCTTGAGGACAGTCAGAATGCATTTTCAACATTCCGTACTGCTCTTGGTAGCAGTAGTTTGTCTGATCTACCATTGTTGAGCTCCTGGAATATTGACGTCCTCATTGATTCTATCAAGCAGCTTGTGGGTTATTTATTTATTTATTATCTTTTTGCATTATTTTTTTCTCTTGAATCTGAAAGTTGCAAGTTGATAATATATGTCCCTTGTTCCTAATCATAAATGTTGAACTACAGGCTCCTGGAACCAATTGGACAAGTGTTGTAGAAAACTTTGATCACGAGGGATTCTACATTCCTAATGAGGCAGCATTTTCGTTCTTCATGTCGATTTATAGACGTGCTTGCCAGGTATTTTTTGTTACATGGGTTTCTAATTACAAGCATGTCTGGTGTGTTTTATACAACCATTTTATGAACTTACAGACATTGTAACTTATGCTCCAGGATCCATTCCCACTCCATGCCATTTGTGGGTCTGTCTGGAAGAATGTGGAGGGGCAGCTTTCTTTTCTCAAGTATGCTGTCTCGGTACCACCTGAAGTGTTCACCTTTGCACATTCTGGGAAGCAACTGGTATGATTCTTTTTATATCCAGTTCTTATTAGTTATCTAATGCTGTCTCAATTTCTTGTGAATGACTACATGTTGTCTCTGATTGATCTGAATGAAAAAGAACTTCTTGCAGGCATATGTTGATGCAGTGAATGGTCATAAGCTTCAACCTGGACATGCAAATCATGCATGGTTATGTCTTGACCTTTTGGAGGTGTTGTGCCATCTAGCTGAGAGAGGCCATGCAAATGCTGTTCGATCAATGCTTGAATATCCTCTTAAGCACTGTCCTGAAATCCTGCTTCTTGGGATGGCCCATATTAATGTACCCTTGTCTAATATACATGCATGTTGTAATGTATTACATTAATTTTCTTTCCTATACTTCTTTGTGGTTGATAAATGTTGCCATTGTAATTGCAGACTGCATATAACCTCCTCCAGTATGAAGTGTCTTCCACAGTATTCCCCATGATAGTTAAAAATACTATGAGGAATGGCATGATTCTTCATCTCTGGCATGTTAACCCTAATCTCTTACTGCGGGGATTTGTGGACGCTCACAACATTGATCCAGACAACATGAGTAGAGTATTGAACATTTGCCAGGAGCAAAAGGTAAAACTTGGAATGGACTTTCTATTATCTTAAAATATTCCCTAACATTACATACTTCATTTTGTAGAATTTTTTCGGGGGAAAATCATGATCTAACTGAGTATGTGGCGTGGTTTCTGGTTGAACAACAAAAATTATTGTGGTGTTGTCCCCAAATAATTATTTAAAATTTTATACACTTGATTCTTACAATATGTGGTTGTGAGTTGATCACTGAATATCTAATTAATTTGAGGGTACATGTCTTTTATTTGATGAGGATTATTACATATGTTTTATTGAAGTAGTTTCGTGGTGACTTGATTGCCATTGTCTGTATTTAGGAAAATTGTATGTGCAAGCGCTAGAATTATGTTTCTTTGAGTTAGAAAAATGGTTTATGCTTTAAATTTGTTTAATAAACAAACATTTCTTCAAGAGATTACGTTGTTATGCCGTTCTAAGCAAAACTAAAACAATTTTGTAATTTATATTTAAGGATGGCTGCATTCCCAGGTTACGTGTTGCATTATGTTGCTTAATCTCTCTCCATAAGCCAATGGAAAAAAAAAAAATCTCTCTCCGTTAGTGGACAGTATAATGTGCTTTTTGTGTGAGAACGGTGATTATATCCTTAAGGGAAATAAAATTTTGCTCTGTTTGTTTGAATTCTGTTATTTCTGTATCATCATTATTTATTGTTGGTAAGCTAACCCTACTGTTTATTTGACATTTCTGCACTATGCATTCTGTTTTTTGTCCTATATTTGTACTCAAGTATTTCTTTCACATTACAGATTCTATCACCGGTATTGGATATGATTCCTTCTTCATTTGGTATTAAACTGGCTGCCCTTGCTTCTCGGAAAGAACTCGTAGATCTGGAGAAGTGGTTGAGCACTAATTTATGTACATATAAAGATATTTTCTTTGAGGTAATGTTGAAAACTGCCAAACCCTGTTCTCTCTCTTCCTCATTTAATGCAAGAAGCCGAGTAGGCGGGTTGGTACAAGCGGAAAGTCCACCACCTTCTGTCGCATCTCGCAAGCTTATCACCATTTTCATTATAATTTTAATTACCATCATTATTACCATTCTTAAAATTTGAAGATACAATATGAATGATTTCCATGTCATTACATCCAGGAGTGCCTCAAGTTCCTAAAGGAGGTTCAGTTAGCTGCAGCTCAGGATGTTTCTGCCAACCAATTCCACCTTCCTAGTGCTCCTTGGAATCTCTATTCAGAGACAAGTTCTACTTTTCTGAAGGTTTTGCGTTTTACGACTGAGTCATTCTAGCTATTCATATGCTATTTTAGTCTTCAATCTCTTGGGAGTTCTATGGTCTTTGTTTTGTTTTACAGATCCTTCAAGCTCATACGGGTCTGATTAGCTCTGGTAAGCTATCTGAGGAATTGGAAAAGTTTCATGTAACCTTTATGCAAGCTAATTCTAGACTGAAGAATGGCGGGGCTACTGATTCATCGACCTCTGATGGATATTCCGACGACATTGAGGCAGAAGCAAATTCTTACTTCCATCAAATGTTTTCTGGTCAATTGACCATTGATTCAATAATTAAAATGCTTGCTCGATTCAAGGAATCATCTGAGAAAAGGTAGATTGTTTGCCAAAGCTATTGACTGTAGTACTGTCTATGATATTTATTTATTATTATTTTTGATAAACTATTTAATATTTTAACAGCATTTTGTTTTTCGATTTTTTCTACTGAATTATGACCGTCCATCCCTCTTCTCTCCCCCCTCATGTGAAATATTATATGCTTTACGTAAATTTTTTATTAAAAAAAAAGAGAAAGAAGCAAGCTCTGCTGTTGTTTTATTTTGTTCTGTTGATTTCTTACCCGGGAAAATTTCATTTACCTGATTACATGACATACACTGTGGGTCTCTATCTCTGAAGTTTTCTGATACCACACGTTGAGCTTTTGACACTATATCATTTTTTTTGGATTTTTTTGAGATATATTGACGGTGACCGTGTTTGAACTGACAGGGAACAATCAATTTTTGAGTGCATGATTGCCAATCTGTTTGAGGAATACAAATTCTTCCCCAAATACCCTGAAAGGCAGCTCAAAATTGCTGCTGTTCTCTTCGGTGAGGTTTCATAGAACTTGGAGTCAATAGGTCCAACAGGTTTCATGTTTTTTTATTTCCTCTTACTATAAAAATTTTGATTTAAATTCTATCGCTTGTTTGCTTGAGTTTGTAGGCTACTCATGCAATTATTCATCTTTGCTCTCATCTTTTACTTGTCAGCCAGAGTTAATTAGATACTTCCTACTTGTACAATTTGTTAATATTAGCCATCATTTAATCTCCATGTCTGCAGCCATGTTACTCCCACGTGATTTTTTTTTAAAAATCTTGGTCCAAGTATTCTGTGTGAGGAAAAGTTGGGTCTATTACCAGAATTACGGGACAGAAATTCTTCAGAGGATTTGAGATTTAGGCATTTAGCATTATTTGTTCTGTAGAAAACTTAAATGGTGAACTTTTCTAGCATGGAGACAAGACGGGAGAATATCTCAGATTTGTAGAAGTTTGTTCTTTGAGTTTTGGGAATACCTACGTTGTGACAACCTAGTGAAATTATTATTTAACATGCCAACAAAGGAAAAACCACCCATTAGTTACAGAAGCAACCTAAATCAATTTGCCAATGACCTCTTAATTAAGATTTTTTTTTGCACATAAGATGTGAACTTATTATAAAATAATAATCTGTATTGATATATTAAATGGGTGAGCCTAAGTTTAACCGTTGTCATTGTTAATTGGTGGTGTTTATGTAAAGCTGATAGTGAATCCGTGGATCATATTCTTTTGCATTGTCCTGTGGCGTATGATTGTTGGAGCTTTATTTTTTGCATGTTTGGCGTTTTTTGGGTAATGCCTAAGCACTCCTCACAATTGATTAACACTTAGAGAAGGTGACCTGTTAAAGAACAAGCTCGTGATTATTGGAGGATTGTTCCACATTGTGTCTGGTGGTGTTTGTGGCGTGAGAGAAATAACAGATCCTTTGAAGGAAAAGAATCGTCTTTAGCTAATTTAAAAATTCATATTCTTCGTTCTTTGTTCTGTTATGTTAGAGGAAATGCATGCCGATTGATGATTTCTTTGATCTCTTGGATTCTATTGGTTCTTAGATCTTTTTTCTTTTTGTATTAAGGATGCGTTCCCCTTTTGAACGTTTTTCTAATATATTTTTACTTATCAAAAAAAAAAAAAAAAAAAAAAAAATTTCTTTCGAGTTTTGCATCAAATACTTGCGTATACCTCCTTAGTTCCGTATTTATTTATTTCTAGTAATAAGTAAAATTTCACCAAAAGCCGCTAAAGAGGTTGTAATCATGTAGACACAAGGCCTAATCCAAAAAAAAATACTTGACGCACAAGGAATACTTGTATGTTGACAGCGTAAGCAAGGCGGGCCACGCTAGTAGCTGCATTTATAGAGGATATGATATTATTGCATATCATGAAGTGGGCCATACCCATATCTGTTTCGAACTGTAGAAGTGGTTGAGTCTTCCTCATGACCTAATTGGTGCACGTGGTGCAACTAAGATGGAATTGTTTTCATTATGGTTTAGCCTGCAGAGAGGGTAGCGAGGCATGAGTCTGAGGGAATGCTGACTGTCTGTCAGACAATATGCAACAAACGTCATGGCTGTGAGGGTAGCAAGGTCCGTTTGCACTTAAACTTGTGTTAGGTATGCTAGTGAAGTACTCAGTGCCTACTGAAAAGACAAATGATAAGTAAGAAGTTCGGAAACTGTCTGTAGAGTGATGGATTGTGGGCCCGGAGAAGTGCTGCATGGTGGAGGCCCGGTACTGCTACAAGCTTGCTTGAGATGACAAGTCTGTACTCTGTAGAGAAGGTTGACCACGTGGCCTGGAATAGCGATGTATAACTTCCTGTGAAGACTATAACTTCCTGTGAATTGCGCAGTAAAGAAATACTCCATTGGTGGTCCAGGGGTTCTGAGATATAGCTTGTTATACTTTAGTGGATGCTACTGATCCTACGGAACACGACATTTGTGACGCTGTAGATGTGGCACGTGGATCAATATGGAGATGCAGGAAGAGAGAGAGAGAGAGATCAACATCCTTCACCTCTTGCTGGATAAATCCTATATCGAAATCCATATAAATTTATGTTTTCCATATTTTTAGTAAAGGTCATAATAATCAGTGACATTGGAACTCTCTTGAGCAAACAATTTATGGCATGAGCTGGTTCCATCATTAATCCACAGTCTGTAGAGTGATGGATTGTGGGCCCGGAGAAGTGCTGCATGGTGGAGGCCCGGTACTGCTACAAGCTTGCTTGAGATGACAAGTCTGTACTCTGTAGAGAAGGTTGACCACGTGGCCTGGAATAGCGATGTATAACTTCCTGTGAAGACTATAACTTCCTTTGAATTGCGCAGTAAAGAAATACTCCATTGGTGGTCCAGGGGTTCTGAGATATAGCTTGTTATACTTTAGTGGATGCTACTGATCCTACGGAACACGACATTTGTGACGCTGTAGATGTGGCACGTGGATCAATATGGAGATGCAGGAAGAGAGAGAGAGAGAGATCAACATCCTTCACCTCTTGCTGGATAAATCCTATATCGAAATCCATATAAATTTATGTTTTCCATATTTTTAGTAAAGGTCATAATAATCAGTGACATTGGAACTCTCTTGAGCAAACAATTTATGGCATGAGCTGGTTCCATCATTAATCCACAGTCTGTTGTTTACATCCAGCATATAACTTGTAATTATAAACTATGCCTATATTTTTAGCAATCTTTTTGACTTGTTGGTAGCCTTGTAATCTCAAGGGAGGGCTTTATTGTCAAACAGAGGCAACCTCTAGTATGCTTCTTCCGAATAAGAAGAGAGGATGTGAAGGGATGCAAAGAAGAGAGGGAGGGAGGGAGGGAGATGACAAAAGAATAATAAGAATTAGAAGAGGACGATGAGAGAAATAAGTGGTCTTCTAAATATCTGTCTATTTGTTATTTTGTGGTCGGGGCTTCCTCTTACACGTTCATAATTCTTATTCACAAGCTTTGAATAACTTTAACAAACTTAGACACATGCTTTATTTCACTTAACATAGTAACCTAATTTGACACAAATATTACTTAAAATCATTCAAACTTTGGAATAAAGACATTGAAAGATCTTGTAAATGTCATAACATCCCTTTGCCACCATAACATATGAACAACCACTTACAATGTTGTGGGCCCCATATAAAATAGGATGCATCAATCTAACTTATCAAAAAAAAAAAAAAAAAGGATGCATCAATCTTGTAATGCCAAAAATATTGAATGTTGTTCTCTTGTTGGAGTGGTGTGTTTTTCATATTTGTTAGAACAGAGCTCTAAGAACTAAAGCCCTGGTTTTCTACTTGCTGTGAACCTACCATTATGCATTTTATTGAAAAGTTAATGTCTGTTGTAGCAGTAAACCCTTCTAAATTAAGTTGTATAAATTGTCTCGTGCTCATTTTTTGTGGCATTCCGCGTTTAAGAGCTTTTTGTAACACAAGTCCTTTGTTGGAGAGGCCATTGCAGGAAGAGTTTCACTGGAAGAAATTCAGAAAAAGAAAGATGTTTGGTGAATACATATTTGAAAAGACCTTTCACTGCTTCGAAATTAGAATAATCTTTAATTGACAATGTTATCCTTTACCCTGATGATTACCTACAATACATTTTATATACATAAATTTAAACAGAAGTTATGCGATTCCAATTAACAATATTTGGATGTTAAAAAAAAACCCTACGAAAAATACCCGTGGGATGTAGAATGGGGACTCCAGTTGATAGGACTACGAACAGATGTTTTCTCTGAAAAAGTTGTTTTTGAATCTTCAGAGATCAAGAGTTAAGCTTCCAGTGGAGAGGAGTCCCCTATTTGCTCTCTCAAATACAACGTACTTTCTTCTTTATTCTTTTGGGTCAATGGGACAAATTGTAAATCTTTAGATCATCTTTTGGAGTTCATGGATAGTTTGAAATTATAGTGTTGCTTTGGGCGTCTTTATATTTCTTTGGGAACACGCTCCTGTTTTGAGTGTTGTTTATAAATCTTACTTGTCAAAAAAAAAAAAAAAGAATTTATCTCCCAGTGCCTATGGAAGTCAGGAAGTCCCTCAGTCTGAGGCAGCCATTTTTTTCTTCTTTTATTCTTCCGTTTTTTTAAAAACTTTTTTTCCCAATTGAAGCAAACTGTTAAAAAGGGATCAAATTAACCATCATCCAACTTCTTGAACATTCCACATCAAAACCAAATCTGAACGAACTTGAACCTCTTTGGTAGGTTTGCCCAGTTTTTGCCTATATTAATTTTGACCTTGTTTGAAAAGTTGACGAATGATCTGCAACTCTTCTTCATGCTGATGCCATGATACTAGCTGATTATTAGATTCAGGTAAAAAGCACAATAAGAAAAACAATCCAAACCACAATCAAATTAGCTGACAACTACAAGTTAATCAGATTTATCACCAGTACCATTAGATACAGACATATGAACATACACAACTCGTGTGTGTATAATATCCTTTCTTCTATAAGTATATGCATAACATTAAAAAGAGTGCGGATCTCTGTAATGGATACCCTAAGCTTAAAATGATTTCATGAATTGATGTTTCCATAAAAAGACGATGGAAACTTAGACCTTCAAGCAGGGATGGACCTACTCAAAGGTCAGTGGGGCAAAATTACATTTTTTTTTTTGTAATTATATACCTACTTATTTATTATTATTATTTTTTGTATTATATCTCTATAAAATTGTAAAATTACCGCCACCGAAATTACAGAAAAACTGCACTAGTGCCCCCATAAATTTTAATCTTCTTCTTGTTAAAGGCCGCCCCCTCTCACATAATTTTCTGGGCTGTCCCTGCCTTCAAGTCCAGTATAATTAAAGGAAGACTTCTTTGTGAAGTGTAGCCGAGGAAGAAGAATTAGATGGAGAAAGTGGGATTTCATTTTGCACTTATTTTCGCACTGTTTCTGTACTTCACGGTTTATTAGAGCCAAAGAGTATTAAAATATAGTTATAGGGTATATATATATATATATATATATATATATGTCCTTACAAACGAAGAGGGGAGAGTGAATTTTGCAAGATGAGGCTAGAAAGACCAAGTGATAGAATCTTCTGCAAGGATTTTTTGGCCTATTAAACATGCATGCAACCGTCAATTAGGTTGCTGCAGTGAAGTTCATGGCAAACCCTGTAACTTTATGGCAAGTATTAGGTTGGTTCCATTTGGAAACAATAAATTAGTGCAATGATAGTGGGGTTGGTGTCCCTTGAAATCCTGCTTCATGAATTTATTGACTCAATAGTATGCAAATAATAGCGTCCTTTATGATGATGGTGTCTGTCCTTTATTATGATGGTATCTGCTGAATCAAACTCGCCTTGAAAACCATGTGGGAATGGAATCCTTCAGGAGCGTTTCTGGTAATCGTGGGAGCTGGTTGAACAGTTGCCAGCATCATTATTGGTGGAACTGGTTGAACAGTCGCCGATATCATTAATTAGTTGGCCTTTTGCGTTCAATTCCATGACGATAATCTAATAATAGGTGCAGCATCGTCATTCAAAATTCGTTATTCTAGTAACTATCAACCTCGTGAGAAGTCATTTCCATAATATACTCTCACTAGCTTCGATTGAAAGGACTTATAAAGAATTGAACTTCTCGTACAACTACGAGCCCTGTGATTCATCTCACCAAACGCCTATGTTTCGTGAAAGGACTAGCAGAGCTTGAAAGTCCTTTTAGATCTACCCAGAAGCTACCCCCATATAGTACCTTAAGAAAATTATATATTAAACATTCTATCTCGAATTTTTTGTAAAATTGTTGGATATAAAGAAAATTTTAAGTTTTGTTTTTTAAATATTTTATTTTTGCTTTTTTTTTTTTTAAAAAAAAAAAAAAAAAAAAAATTGTACTTCCTCATCTCTCTATATATCATAGGATTTAAACACTTATATTGTGTAAATTTCTACAAAGACTTGAAGGTCCCAAGTCAATTTTTTTGATCATATTGATTCTATGCAGGATAGTAGGATCCGCAGACTTTTCTTGCCTACTCACTTAAAACCACAAATGTAAAGTGTGATAGGATAATGCCCAGAAGCATTGTTTTCTTGATACATTTTCTGAAATTTTTCGGGAACATTTTTCTGAGCAAGTCGGCCGTTGGTATTGTTGTGTGTGCACATGTATTCTAAACTCTACCTTATGTTTTGTGATCTTATGAGCTGCATGTATGTTGCTGGAGTGATCTTGACATCTTATGATTATGATAGTCATACATAATTTGCAGCTGTAAATTGGACTAATTAGCTGCTTTGTGATACTGTAGTTTCCTTGGGATATCTCTCTTTTCATATGATTGGAGCTATCATTTTTCCTTAATTGTTTTACTATCTTTGTTATAATACTCATGGCATGATTCTGAATCAAATTTCAGGCTCCCTCATCAAGCATCAGCTTGTAACTCATCTCACACTTGGTATTGCCTTGCGTGGTGTTCTGGATGCATTACGTAAACCTGCGGACTCAAAAGTTTGTATCACGTTCCAGTAGTGGACTTCTTCTAGCATTGTTTTTTGTTAGTTTGACGTTACTGATGCACCTCGACATGCAGATGTTTGTTTTTGGGACCAAGGCGCTGGAACAGTTTGTGGACCGTTTGGTTGAGTGGCCACAATATTGCAATCATATTTTGCAAATATCTCATCTGCGTAATACACATTTAGATCTTGTTCAATTAATTGAACGGGCACTTGCTAGGATTTCATCCGCTCATTCTGAGCCAGATGGCGGGCACAGTGCTGCTGGTGATCAATACCATGGTTCTGTTAATACTACTACAGCAAATGCGGAGGTGAATAGTAATTTTTTTTATTGGTCCCTCATGCATTCCAAACTGTTGCTTTGTCCTTCAAGAAATGATTTTACAATGAATAAGTTTAGTGGTTTGTATTTTGTACATTGTATCGTGGTACAGCTGCTTGGACATATGCATTGGGAGATTTCTTACAGTTTATGACTGACATCTTTCATATTTCAGATCCTCCTTTTGTGTGTGTGTGTTTTTTGTAAATTCAATGAACAACAATAGTAGAGACAAAATAGTTTTTATGCTTCTGCTGTCATTTTTTTACCCTCAGAAATATTTTGTGCACTGAGACAAGATGTTGCGCCATGCACGTATCCTGGTTGACCATTGACATCTCACAATTATGCACCTTCTTTGTTATATATTTTATTGAGGAGGTTTTAAGATGATTTTGGAATCACTGTTATTATTATTATTATTTATTTCCTACCTAGCAGTACAGAATTCTTTTTTCTCTGATAGGTCCTACTAGTACGGAATTTTTAATGCATTCTTTGTCCATACATATTTTTATTGGTTAACAACCAAGACCTCATAGATTATGCTGAACTTTTCAAAATAGAAATGTAAATATCGCACAAGTATACCAAAACACTGACCACCATCAGTGCAACGCCATCATTGCCACCACTTGAATGGATTTGTGTACCATAGTATTAAGCAGCATATTGCTGCATGTCTGATAGCCCCTCATTTGATTTAAAATTGGGTGATACAATTTTAAGGTTTAGATATAGTGCGTAATTTTCCACAAATTCATAGATATTACCAACAATTTGTTTTATATTATATTATTTTTACATTTATAGATCATAGTCCACTCATCAACATAAAAGGTTCTTTAGTGAAATTGATTCCTTTGACTTTGATAGTAATTATATTTGTATGTTATATATTTTTGTGATCACATATTCTATACTGTGATATTTCATATCATTCATGATTTCAAATGACAAAATCATTTCCCAGCGATCTCTTGGAATGATACATCTAAACCAAAGCGAACAGTAAGAAACCATGAAAATAGTAAACAGAAAGAGAGCTGTCTGGACAACACATCAAAGTCAAACCAAAGGTGGTAAACTCAGTTGCAGCCTCAATATTCAGTTCTAAACAAAATAGATAAATGCATTACTCTTGGAGCTTTCTGAATGAAAATGTAGTAATGTTTAGATTCCGTTAAGTTAGTCTAAGGTGTTCCCCTCCCCCTTCTTCTTTGAATCTTGTAAGTTAGAAGTTCGTATTCTTAGCCATTTGGAATCAGGTAAAAATAACAAGCTGGGGAAAGACAGAAGTCCAAGAGGAGCAAGGGCCAATATGGTCTGCTATAGACCAGCGTGTGAATTTAAACAGCTAGTATACTGGGTAGAATCAGTAGCAGAGGTCGTCAATTGCGGCCATTGCCCAAAAATATTGAGATGCACTTCTTTACATGTAAAAGTAAGCTTCATAAGCGATGACTGTACTCTGTAGTGTCTCTTCTGATCCACTGCTATAATCTAAGGATTTTAATTAGTAGACCAGGCAGGTGCATATTCTGTCCACATTCCTAGACTATCTTGCATAAATAGTTTCTTGTGGTTCTATTTCTGGATTTTATTATGAACCGATTTGTCTGAATGATTAATGCAATCTAATAGTTATTTCTTGTGCTTAGATGGCGGGCTCATCGTTCCCATTAATTGGATCTGGTGGAGCACAGCCTGGGTCACAAGCTGCTTCTCCAATTCACCTTCAGCAGAGGCACCAATTCTCTACAGATGACAGGCACAAGCCCTCTGTAAATTTGTCTAACTACATGAAGCCAAGTTTTTCTTCCGCAGGGCAACCTTCCACTGTTCCCCCAAGCGATGCAGTTAACACACAGAAGGCAAGCACTGCTATTATATTTCAGAAACATGCAAAATATTTTGTGTGATTTGTATACTTTTTTTGAAATACCCTAAATGTCTTTATTTATATATATTTTAATCATTTTCCCCCCTTGCTGAAAATACAGTCAGAGAGTACAGCTAGTGCTTTAGCAACACTGGCTTCTTCTCCTGGTTTTATTCGTCCATCCCGAGCAATTACCTCAACAAGTAATTCTGTTTTACTTCTCAATATGCATGTGTTTTTGGGTAGTATATTCCTACCAGCTATTATGTCTTCTCCATACATAACATCTAGCTTATGTTTCTGTTTTCATTTCATTCACGTAATGCAGGGTTCGGCTCGGCTTTAAATATTGAAACGCTTGTTGCTGCCGCGGAGAGAAAAGATACTCCTGTAGAGGTATTTTATTCAATTTTTTTTTTGTCCTTCTACGTTGTCGAGGCTTTCTTTCTAGAAAAGTATTCTGTAGTTGTCCTCATTTGCTCGCTGATAGAATCTGACTGGTCTTTGATCATAGCCCCGATATGTTTTTAAGAAGGGCTTGGGGTGAAAATACTAGCATAATTAATATTATGGGCTTGTAGTTTGAGTCATTTGGCACAAATAAATATTGACCGGCTTCCCATTGCTGCTACGACTTGGTTGATGGGGTTTGATTGAAATGTGGTCAGCTTGACTCATCAAGTGGGTAGCCACAATTAGCTGCACCTAGTTTGTCTTCTCCGATGATATATAATCAGATTGTGTTCATTATCTGAAGCGGACATCACACTGTGATAGTTGAATTTTAGCAGTGTATTTATTTATGTTTGTACATAAGCTTGATCCTGAATTATGTATCTTAATTGGAATTTTAGGTAGTTTCAAACTGAATTAGTATTTTTGGGGCCAATTTCAGGCAGTGTGTTGTATAACATGAAGTTAAAACAAACCACCATTCACCTTTGGGTTGGATTGAGCCACGGCTCAAGCTTACCATAGGCATAGATCAGAACCAGAAATCTAGTCAAAATAATTGTTTGATGATGGAAATCTGAAAGAATCCTAAAATTGGCTTAAAACAACACGTTGCATTAGTTTACACCATAAGGCATCTAAAAGTGAACATGATCCTTCTTCAAGCTTTTTTTACTCTGAAATGGGATTCATGAATTGACGTACTAGCTGCTTCTCACCTTAGTAAAATATTCTTTATAATTGTACTTTTCAATTTCTCTCTCTCAACTTGGATGCCACAAGGTGCATTTTGGATAGTATTGGAATAAGTAGGAGTAATTACATGGATTTTCCAGAGCACATAGGGCTTTTGACCTGCATACATTAAACAAATTGAAATGGACATGTTAGCTGAGAATATCCATACTTCCCATCTTAGTTACATGTTGATATTTGTAGAAACTAGTAGCGTGACTCTTTAGGCTTTGTGTTTCTTGATGAAATTGACTCCTCTTTTGGGGATGATTTTAATGGGTTAAAATCTGCATAATGCTGATGAAGGTGCAAATTTAACCGCGGAGGCTCCTAGTTAGAAATCCAGGTGCAGGTGCTTTCTGCTGTTGACGTGGCTTACTTGTAGATCTGCGATTCTCAAAATCCTTGTTTTTGTTGTTTACTACGCATTCACAATCTCATCAGTTGATTGATTATGAAGTTATTTGACTGATACTTTAGTGTCTTTATATGATTATTGTCACTGCAACGGGAAAAATGATCCATCACTATTTTTTATGGGTTGGTTAGACAGATCAGTTATGTTAATTATAAGGTTGATAGACCAACCAACTTCAAACCGTCTCTCTCTATGAGTCTATGTTGCACCATTTGTATTATGTTGGCATCAATACTTCCAACCCCTTACCCTGTGGGAATTATTAGAAATGAAGTGGTGGGTGAAACGGAGATACAGGAGTCCTGTAACACAGCCCTTTGGCAGTGGAAGTCCCGTTTTCCGCGATCTTACTGTAAACAGAGCTGTCATCTCTTGCTTCATTGTCCGGTGTCCCGGGATTGCTGGGGTTGATTTTTGGGATATCTGGGGTCCAGTGGGTTATGCCTCGATCCTCTAGAAGCTTGATTGATGCTTGGAGAGGTTGTATAGTGGGTTCCCAAGCTCGTGACTTTTGGACGGTTGCACCCTTGTGTATTTGGTGGTGCCTGTGGAAGGAACAAAACAGGAGATCTTATGAAGGCGTGGAGACTCCTTTTGGGGTGTTCAAATTTTCTATTATTAGTTCTCTTCTTTGTTGGGTCATTGGGAGGAATTGTAAATCAATGGAGGAAATTGTTGATACTTTGGATATTTTGAGAGTTTAGGGTCCTATTTGGCCTTGTGTAGATTTTGCGGGTCGCTTCGCTTTCCCCGTTTGAATGCTCTCTAATAGAACTTATAAAAAACAGAGCTGTCATTGCACATATATTTTTCCTTTTTAAATTTTCCTTGGTCGGATATTTGAATATGTACATCCTAGGTAGATTCTGTAGCATCTATGTTGAACGGTTGTCCACCACACAGCTTTTCAAATATAATGCTTATGCACAGAGGATTGTGACCGTATGTTATATCTTTCAACGGCTCAGCCAAATACTTATGCGTGCTGTATGTTTGTGGTTATGCGTACTGCCTGGGTTTGTACTGGGTTTTTAAGCAATGACAACTAGATGCTTCTATTTTTGGGGCGAACAACCTCATGCATTCTGATTGTCGCATTATTAGGTATTTATATTAGAGAAAAGGTCATCTTTGAAACAGTTTGCACCTTCAATAATTGGATGTTGCGTCTTCACATTTTTTTTCCATGCTGTTTATCTGTTGTTCTTTTTTAACAGTCGATGATTTAGTTATGTTCTTTATGCAGGCTCCAGCATCAGAGATTCAGGACAAGATATCATTTCTTATTAATAATTTATCTACTTCTAATGTTGAAGCTAAGGCGAAAGAATTTATTGACATTTTGAAAGAGCAGTATTATCCCTGGTTTGCGCAGTATATGGTGATGAAAAGGTGAGTGTATGAGCCTGTGAGGTATCTATGGTTCTTTTATACACACATGTCCATATCATGAATTGAATGTGGTATAATATTGCTGTTTAATGTTTATTTGCAGTTTAGATTTAACAGTTGCTTCTTTGTTCTTGTTTTGTACATGCATGTGTGTATTATGATATGCATAAATATATTGTTTAATAGTTTTATTTACCCCTGATCTATCACCCACTTCTTTGCTTTTTGTTACATTTGGATGCACTATTTCATGGTCGTCTTAACTTCTTAACAGAGCAAGCATTGAGCCGAATTTTCATGACTTGTACCTGAAGTTCCTAGAAAAAGTTGATTCAAAGGCTTTGAACAAAGAGATTGTCCAGGCCACTTATGAGAACTGCAAGGTTTATGTCCTGAAACTATTATTCATGCCTTTGGATGTAGTTTTTAGTGGAAGATTATATCACTTCAACGCATTGTTTCAGGTTCTTTTGGGGTCAGAGCTTATTAAATCAAGTTCAGAAGAGCGTTCGCTGCTTAAGAATTTGGGAAGCTGGCTTGGGAAAATTACAATAGGCAGGAATCAAGTTTTGAGGGCACGTGAGATTGATCCCAAATCATTGATCATAGAGGTCAGTTTTTTTTTTTTTTGTCAATGCAGTCATCGTGGAGTTGATTTTTTTTCTAATTAAGATTTCCTCGTCTTTCATTTGCGCTTTTAGAACTGGCCATCACTCCTCTTGGTCTTGCATTTTTTTTTTCATTGACAGGCATATGAGAAAGGTTTGATGATTGCGGTAATTCCATTCACCTCCAAGGTATTGCCATTCTGGAAGCTGATGTGTATGCTTTACGTATGCTTTAGTGCTGTAATATATATGTCCTATATGTGCTACAGGTTTTGGAGCCCTGCCAAAACAGTATGGCATATAAACCTCCTAATCCTTGGACCATGGGTATTCTTGGATTACTGGCTGAGATTTATGCAATGCCAAATTTAAAAATGAACCTGAAGTTTGACATCGAGGTGTGTATCTATATGTATTAATGTGTACTCCACTTGGGAAATGCCTATCTTAAATTTGTGATAATTTAGTCATATATTTCTCAAATGCTTTTGGCATTTCAGGTCCTGTTCAAGAACCTTGGTAAGGATTTGAAGGGTGTAACTCCAACTTCTCTTCTCAAGGACAGGGTTAGGCAAGTCGAAGGAAATCCTGATTTTTCCACCAAAGATGTGGGAGCTTCCCAGCCACAGATGGTTGGTGATGTTAAATCTGGTGGTCTGATATCTACTCTGAATCAAGTTGAGCTACCACTAGAGGTTGCCAGTCCTTCTCATCCTGGTGGCCATTCACATATATTATCTCAGGTTTGTATTGGTTTTGTGATTCCTTGTTGCATGTAAGCTGCAATCGCATATTGTCAATATCTTGATGTTTAAACTATTTGGTGGACTCAGTATGCTGCTCCTCTCCATCTTACTTCTGGCACGCTGATGGAGGATGAAAAGCTGGCTGCTTTAGGCTTATCTGATCAGCTTCCTCCCGCTCAAGGACTTCTTCAACGACAAGCACCATTTTCCGTTAGTCAGGTATGGTTGCAGTTGCTTCCTCCATTTGTCTTGTACTCATTGATTGACTGCTATGATATGCTGGTGATCCTGTTTTGCAGCTTCCCACACCAGCTTCTAATAACGAACAGCAGTACATTGTTAACACTAAGCTCCACGCGTTAGGCCTGCACTTGCACTTTCAGAGGTTTGATGTTTGTTTATTTGTTTTTGTTTTTTTTTTTTTGTTGTTGTTGCTGTTATTCAAACTCTTTTCCTATCTGCCTAGTAGGCTGACCATATCTTGTCTGATAAACTCCATTAAATTTGTTTTGTACAGCGTGGTTCCAATTGTCATGGATAGAGCTATCAAAGAAATAGTGTCTAGTATTGTGCAGCGCAGTGTTTCTATAGCAACTCAAACGACAAAGGAGCTCGTTTTAAAGGTTCTTCAGTACTGTTTCATGTCCTTATATACGTATATTATTTTTATGGTCAGCAGATAGTCATTAGTTTCTTTTGTTACTTAAATTTCAATTGTAGGATTACGCCATGGAGTCAGATGAGATCCGTGTACGCAATGCAGCACATTTGATGGTTGCAAGTTTGGCTGGGAGTCTAGCTCATGTAACATGCAAGGTTTGATCTCAAACCGGAGATTCTTCTTGTTCCAGCGATCTGTATATTTATTTAACTTACTTGAGATGCAAAACAATACATCCTAATCTTTGTTTATAATATTTATATATTTTTTTATGAAAATGTAAATTGCATAATTCTGTGCATCTCTATTACTTGGGTTTTGACTATGGAATTGTGTTTATTGGTAGGAACCCCTACGTGGTTCAATTTCAAGTCAGCTGAGGAATTCACTTCAGGGTTTAAATATTGCGAATGAACTCCTTGAACAAGCTGTGCAACTTGTTACTAATGATAACCTTGATTTGGGCTGCGCGCTGATTGAACAAGCTGCAACTGACAAGGTTAGATTTCTTTCTTCTTTGTTGAACAAAATTATATTTATCTGTGTACGTGCATTAGATAATTTATTCTCTCTAGTGCTTTGTATCCAAGGTAATTTACTAAAAACCAAGGCTGGAATAGCAGGCGGATTCCATCCGTTTTGCATAACCTGAAATATTATTTAGATATATAGAGCCTAAAAAGGTATCCATGTATATGGTTTTAAGAAGATCTACATTCTTGTACCATATATCTCTCTCTTACACTTATAAGCACGCACAAATAAGATCGGTATACGATAGTCGGTTGTCGAACCACGAGCCTTGTGAGGTCAAAATCACTCTTCATGTATCCTGTGATATTTTTATCAAGTTTTGATTCTTCTTCAATTCTTTTTTATTTTCCCTCCACAAGGAAATTCTTGGTAAGAATTCAGATGTGTATTGGTAAAGAAGCGTCTGCTACCTTTAAATCCCAACATGAATAGAGTTGGGAGAATGTATTCTGTATGTTTAAGACACTGGCATGTCTAGAGTTGGGGTATGCGGTGAGAACAGGTTTTGGTATTTATATAGTTTTGTCATAAGAGAGAAATGATGGTTTAAGGTTCGGTGAAACTTCTTTGTGCATCTGAATCACAGATGTGTGATGCATTAAATTGGAAAGACTCGGTTTTTGATGAGAGGAACCTTCAATCCATGTGAGTCTGAATTGGGCTGTAACAGGGTCAGTGCTTGTTTATATGAGGTTGTCAGGAGAGGAGAGCTTGGAAGTTTTACGTTGTGGCACCTTTTTGTCTTATGTGGTGTATTTCACATAAGAGTAATAGGTGCGCTTTCTAAATGGTCAAGTTGCCTGTTCCTAGATTAAAGTTTGGGCTAAAAAATAGTACTCATTATGTTCATCCAACTTGTCGTGAATCACTTGGTACCTAATAAGTGCCGTCTTATTGGACGTCACTATCTGAGGATCACATGGATCATGTCTGTTCTTTTTTCTTCAAGTTGGAAGACTTGAACCTGAATTCCTAGTAGAATTCCTTTTGTTGTTCTGTACACTAGCCTTTCTGTTTGGGTGGTGTTTGATTCATATAAATCTATTAGCACATTGACATCAAGATATTCACCCAGTATGGGAAATTTTGATTTGGACTATTATGTTAAATTTGATCGTTAAAATGACTAATAATGTATTGGTTTGTCAAAACACTTGAAACCACCAGTTTGGCGAACATGAAAATAACCTTCAGTCATGCTTTAGCAATATATTGGTCAAAATAAATGCCTATTGTTTTTGTGTTAACTTAAGATGATTACAGTATATGTGAACAATGTTTCATTTGGATATTTCTAGCAATAAAAATTTAGATGCTGCATGCAAGCACGGACCCACAATAGGACCCCCACTGAATTTATGAATATGCCCCCACTAAAATTACAATTCGCCCCCACTGGAATTCTTTTTTTTTTTTTTTTTTGCATTTTATACTTCAATTTTTTGGGAATTTATGAAGATGCCCCAACTAAAATTACATTTCACCCCCCCTGGATTTTTTTTTTTTTTTTTGCATTTTTACTTCAAGTTTTTAAGAATTTATGAAGATGACCCACTAAAATTACAAAAATGGACCCACTATATAAATTTGCCCCACAAATTAAAAATCCGCGCCCCCTCACAAAGTTTTCTGGGTCCGTCACTGGCAGCATGTAGTTTTTATCCTGGAAATCATACTATGCATCAAGTTGGACCCTCTTCTTGAGAAGAAATTTTGGAACCTTCTACATCAATTACAATGCTGTATCATCAGGACAATGCCACCCATGTGTGTGTGTTTTTTAATTGCTCTTTGTTAACTAAGTAAACATGTGATGAGTTACGAAGTCGCCTGTCCGTCAAAGAATGAGGGTATTTCTGAGTGTGTGTGTTGAAAACTTAATGCTTGACAAATCATTCCATTACCACAATGCCATCTGTATGTCAGGCTTGCTTGTGTTACTAAAATTGTTATTGTTGTAATTTATTTATATACTTTGTGTAATATATATATATTTCTTTTATCAATAATTAAAGGTTGGAATGATTGGTCATTAACAAATGAAAATGAAGCCTGGTTGTTATTCTTTTTGTGGCACTATGAACTTACTGATTTTTTGGGGTCATGTATGTGTGTTGCTTTATACAGGCAATACAAACTATTGATGGGGAAATAGCTCAACAACTTTCTATGAGAAGAAAGTACAGAGAGGGTGTTGGTTCCACATATTTTGATTCGAGCATGTATACACATGGTCACATGGGTATTTTACCAGAGGCCCTTCGTCCTAAACCTGGTCGCTTATCCCATTCTCAACAGCGAGTTTATGAGGTAGCCACCTGTTACAGTCTTTTTCCAAAAGTTGGCCTGAGGTTGTTGGCTTATGATTGTTATTTTTGCAGGATTTTGTTCGTTTACCTTGGCAAAACCAATCAAGTCAGAGCTCAAGTGCTCTGCCTGTTGGTCCTACATCTTCATCTGGCAATGCTGCAGTGTCGCGATCACATGGTTCATCATCAGGGCAACTAAATTCATCATCTGGCTTAGGAAACACAGGACTTAGTACAGTTGCTCAGCCCTTGGATCTCGTGTCAGAGGAGATGGAATCTAGTTCAGTTCCACTTCATAGGTGTTCATTCTGTATATCTAAATTTTCGGTTTCTTCCTCTATGTATTTTTTTGAAGTTTGGGTTACTCATTTTCTGTTTTACCTTTTTCTATTTTTTTAGTGCTTCATCAACTCATATTATGGTGGCTGATGGTGTTAATCCACTTGACTTCGAAACCAGTACGGTTGCTTCTTCATTTCCCTCGACCTCAGCCCCTGAATTGCATTCAGCAGAACTTTCTGATGTAAAAGTTAGAGAATTTTGTGTACATGAGTCCGAATGTTGCTTGAGATTCATTCTTTATTATTGACACGCATGATTTATTTTTTGAAAGGAATTGGGAGCTTCTCAGCCATTAGCTTCAGCTTCTGCAACTGAGCGCCTTGGAGGTAGTATCTCAGAACCTCTGTTGACCACAGGCGATGCATTGGATAAGTACCAGATTATTTCAGAGAAGGTATCAAAGTAGCTCCTTTAGATTTTCTATTGTTGTTGTTGTTGTTGTTGTTATTTATTAAAGTGTAAGAGTTTCTGCTTCCAAATTCTTGCCGATTCATGGTAGGTTAGAGTAATGCTATCAAGATAGCTCCCTCTTGACAATTGCCACGAGCTCTCCACATTTAACCACTGGATTGCGACAGTTTTTTGAGATTTGTGAAAAACTAAGTGAATCATTTCATCTTTCAATCCAATAGTTAAATATGAAGAGCTCATGACTCTAGTCATGAGGGAGCTCTCTTCATAGCATTACTCGGTAGGTTTTGGTTTGTGCATCTGACTGTGTCCTGCAACACGCGCTATAATTGATCATCGTTTTTAATGCACATTTGTGTAAGGTAATACATACCATATACTGAATTGACTACTGTCACTTTAGTAAGGCTAAGATTGAAGTTCTAGCATGTATGGCATTGAACAAACAATGTGTAAAGGCTTGCATCACAAGACCAAAATGAGTAATGAATGAAATATAATTGTTTCTGCTGGTGGCTAGGTGAAAGCTTATTTCTAATGATTTTTGCTGTCATTATATAAAGTGAACACTTGCTCACATGCTCGTGCACTAACATATAGGTCATTTTTGCTTGAAAATGTTATTTATCTGATAAGGACTTTTTTTGTAAATGGTTTCAGCTGGAAATCCTGGTAACTAATGATGCCAAAGAAGCTGAAATGCAGGTATTTGCTCTTTTTCATTCTAAGGATATAGAAAAGGGCATTGAAATAGTTTATTGTGTTAAATTTTTTATTCTTCCATATCACTGTTTTTCTGTGTTTTCTATTTAAATTTTTTTTTCTGGGATGCATGAGAAAATATATTGTATGGATTTGTTTTCTTTCAGGGAGTTATTGCTGAGGTTCCTGCAATCATCATCAGATGTATAAGTCGAGATGAGGCTGCATTGGCCGTGTCTCAGAAGGTGTTCTATCCTCCCAAGTTCATGTTGGATTTGTACATGTTCATTTAATTTTCTTTTTCCTGAGCCAGAAGCTTGATTTTTCACTCTCTTAGGTTTTCAAGGGTTTATATGAAAATGCATCAAATAGTGCACATGTCGGTGCTCATCTTGCTATTCTTGCTGCCATTCGTGATGTTAGCAAGCTTGTTGTCAAGGAGCTGACTAGTTGGGTATGCTTTTATTGACTTACTCCTCTGCAATAGTTATGGTTATTATTATTTTTTAAAATTACGACTGTTGTTTAAAGTTTTTGCACATTCATCTAATGTATTGTATTTAACTCCTAGAATTTGTTACCCTCTTAATTACCCTCTTAATTGTGTAAACATATATTTTTTGTTTGGCTGCTTCCTCTATGATTCTAGCTACGATCCCCCTCCACGTGGAAAAGAAATCCTCTCCACATGGGAAAGGCTTTGACATTGATAACTATTAAGGGAAAGGGAAAGGGATAGGGAAAGGCTTTAGCATTGTTAACTATTATTGGAAAGTATTGGAATAATGCCTCAGTTTGTATTAAAAAATATCTTCATTATTAAATTCCACTTGAACAAAGCATCATATGAATAATACTCTTTCATCTAAACAAATATATGAAGAATTGCCATCTTTATATTCCTAAAAGAAAAAAGGCTTACAGGTGATTGGACCTAATTTTTTATAAATGTTCTATTTCTATTTTTCAACGCAAGCCCTTTTGTCAGAACTATATATGGACAAGAATAAATGTTTATTTTTTTCCTTTTTTTTTTTCTTCATTCCTATCTTTTCACTATAAGTTGTTCATTTATTCTTTTTTGGTGGAAGTAGTTTTGTCACGTGTTATCTGCTTTTCAAGTCTCTTAATATTGGAAGCATGTTTTTCTTTGCTGGTTCAACCAGCAGGGGTTGTTTCAAGTCCGCCTTATGTTTAGAGATTTAAGGCAGGTGGAAGCATTATGGATTGCTAAAGCTGCTGGTTTTCTGAGTCAATACTGTAGAGTGCAAAAACCCTACTCAAGGAAATGGATCTTGCTCCCATGATAAGCTAGGGCCACTGTCCAATGCGGCACCTTATCTGGGGTTTGGAGATAACATTAAATTGGGGAATTCTAAATTGAGTTTTACAAGTGTTCTACTCCCTCCATCCCACAAAGAGTGTCCATCTTTCCATTATTGGCTGTCCCAAAATAATTGTCCCAATTCAAAATCCAATGTACTATTTTTTTACTATTCCTAATTTACCCTCCTTATCTTGAAGTTATTAAAGCAATGAAAGCTTGAAATAAGACCGCATGTACACTCTAAAAAAGTTAGGTCCCAAAAAGGGACACTTTTTGTGGGACGGAGGGAGTATATTTTTTAAAGGAACAAAATATTGTTTACAAACTCTTTTCTGGTGCACTGTTACCAAACTACATGTTTACATGTTGTAAATGAGGTATGATGCTATAAGTTGGACATTGTGTTAGCCTTGGAATATACAATCAACAAGTGCCAAAATATCTATCGGAGATATTTTTATGCAGAACTAAATTAATATTCTTTCTTCAGAACATCTGAACATGAAAGGAGTAAGTCGTATCCCCAGTGAAGGTACAGTTTCACTTCCAAGTCCCATTCATTTCCATCCTTGGATTCTAACTTCTAGACCGCTATAATTTGGTTGGAAGCCTAAAGAACTGACTTGAAGATGATTATAGCAAGAGTATTGTTGCCATTGATTCAATAGCTGAAATATCTAATAGTATTTATGTCATTCCATTTTTGGGGTTTGAAAAGTTCCATAAAGTGCTTTTTTGTTCATTAGGAATGCGTGATATGATGTTGAATCTTTTGAGTTTTTCATTTGTAAATGCTATGTTTTGGCATTGTTGTTTAGAAGTTATAATTTTGGCTTTGTCACATGTTTTGAATCTGGTTCTAGTTGAATGATTTTGAAATGATACAATTTTATTGCTTGCTAGATATTCTTTGCCTCTACAACATTGTTTGCTTTCTTGGTAATTTAATTGCAAATCTTCATCAGATTAATGGAAATAATACAATTTTTTTATGGATTGTTTAGGTTTGATCTTGTTGCGATTGTTCATGTCATGATTGTTCCAATTTTGGAATATAATATATCAGTTTGTAATGTCTTCTACAGGTGATTTATTCTGATGAGGATCGAAAGTTCAACAAAGAGATTACTATTGGCCTTATTCGCAGTGAATTACTGAACCTTGCAGAGTATAATCTTCATATGGCAAAGCTTCTTGATGCCGGGAGGAATAGTATGTATAAGGAACATACTTTATATATTGATAATATTAGAAGATTTGACACAACTAACTAGGTGCATATAATATGCAGAGGCTGCTACTGAGTTTGCAATCTCCCTTATTCAGACATTGGTGATCAATGATTCCAGCATCATTTCGGAACTTCACAATCTTGTTGATGCACTGGCAAAGGTACATGTGCATTCATTTTGTTTAAAATGACGTATTTATTCTATTATGTTCGGTTCTAATTGATTTCTTACCTGCAGCTTGCAGCTAGGCCTGGGTCTCCGGAGTCATTGCAACAGCTGGTTGAGGTTGCAAGGAATCCTTCTTCCAGTGCTACATTGTCTAGTCTAACTGCTGGAAAGGAGGATAACTCAAGACCACCCAGAGACAAAAAGGTTACTATAAATGGAGTGTTATAGCCATTCTTTGGTGTTCTGACATTCTGTGGATTCTGAATATTTAGTTTCTGCTGGAACAGGCTGCTGGTCATTCTGCAGCTAGTAGGGAAGACTATAATGTCCCAGAGCCAGTGGAACCAGATCCTGCTGGTTTTCGTGAGCAGGTACTCAGTTTGCTCTTTATGATTCTGAAGTAGTAGAACGGTTTAGCTTAATGTTATAGTGGAATTTTTAATTGGACAAGAATTGATAACTTGAGAAGGATTTGTGTATCTGGTCCTACCTTTATATTTCATTTTTTGCTGATCTCATTTGTCTGTAGATTCCCTCCGTTGTTTTAATTGGTAGTGATTGTGTGGAACACCATCATCTGACAAAGGAGAGCTTGCAATTGGTGGTTGCATGCTGAAAGCGACTTAGCAACAAGGTTTTACGAATAAAATGAATCTAACGTGAAGATCCCGCAGTTAGCTGTGGTTGGAAACAGCCCTTTCAGATTGGTCCCTTGTTGGTCAAGCTGAAAGCGACTCAACAAGGCTTTACTAATAAAATGAATCTAATGTGAAGATACCAACGGGTCAGTGGCCTAGCGGTATCAGCCTCTTACTTCCCAAAGGGAGGTTAGGGGTTCAAGTCTCAGTAGAGACAAGTGTCTGTGAGTACCAAATAGGAAAAAAAAAATCTAATGTGAAGATCCTGCAGTTAGCGGAGTTGTCGATTTCCACTCTTAAATTCTCTATTATTTCCACTCTTTTTTGTTGGGTTTATGGGAGAGATCATAGATCTTTAGATGAAATTGTCGATTTTTTGGCTTCTTTGAAGGCCTAAAGGTCCTTTGTGGCCTTGTGTATATTTTCAAGGTTTCACTCCCCTTTTGAGCGCTTTTATAAAATTATTCTTACTTATCAAAAAAAAAAAAAAAAAAAAAAAAAAAGATCCTGCAGTTAGCTGTCGTCATTTAAGTCTTGTTTGTTGCCAATGCTACAAGAAGATATAAGAAAGAAGAAAAGAAATATTTAATTTTTTTTATCAACAAGTAATTAGCATCAACATGAGTACCTTACCTTTTAGGATACTATATGAGTTGGAAATGGCATCTTACTAATGGTTGTGGAGTTTGAGTATTTGACTTGGTTATAAATTTTCTAAAATCAGGATTGTTGCTTAAATTTTTGTCTTGTTGGGACAAGTGAACAAAATGCCAGGGGAAAGATTTAGGTTGTATCAAAGTTTTGGGATGCAAATGTAAGGAAATTAATGGTAATTGGTGACTAGAATTGCAAAATGTGATTACAGGAATTAGGGAGAACAACGAGGAGGAAGAGGAGAGATCTTAAAGGAATCTCTCCAAGATCTTTTAGGCTTTACCACTGGGGTAAGCTTGGTAGATACACACACACACACACACACACATATATATCTGATAGACAGTACTAGGTTGATTATTCAAAATTAGATAATTCAAAACTTTGACTACCACATATATAACTCAGTTATATAACCTTATGGACCACCACCATAATTCATGTCCAGAAATTTGAATTTTGTTAAAGATTTAGTAGAACTAAACTATGCCTATCGCTTATTCTCTGAAGGTTAAATATATATACTACTAATCGCCAAAAAAAAATCAGGTCTCGATTAAAATCTCAAGATTTGCTCCTTGCATGCTTGGCATCAATTGTACTTGGAACCATAATAGTTTCTTGTTATGGAATTTACAAAATTGTATTCTGGAATCTTCTTTCTATATAAATAATATTTACAATCATTGCTAGTTGCTCTGAAAGTGCAATGATAGGCAAAAGGGTCAAAGTGTACTGCTGAAATTACTTTGATTGGGAAACTTGAATGGAGATATTGGTCTAACTTGATGCCTAAATAAGCATCATCGTGGATCGCTGAAACAGATTCCAGATTTAGCTCCAAGTACAACTTTAAAGAGATCATATTAGCTTTCAAAATTCAAGTTCAAAACACAATAAATAAGTAGCCAGAATGATGGGTGTTATTAGTGTCCTATGGAGTTTCAACTATGAGTCTATAACTATTGTTCTTTAGCAACTTGGGTTACCAGAGAGTGCTGATGACATAGTGAACTTCCGGGATCAAGCTACAAATTTTCAATGCCATTAAAAATGGTTGATGGGTTTTTTGAAATATAGGTTTTTTTTTTTTTTTTTTTTTTTTTTGATCTTCTATATTTTTTAAGTATGCCCTTTGTTTTTTACTAAGAAAAAAATAGAAGTAATAGCAAGTTACTGTTCTTAGGTCTTGTTTAAGGCTATAAATATTATTTTTATTTTAATATTTGGTAGCATGAAAAATAAAAATGACACGAAAGATGCAAAGTCGTTTTGGAGACTTTGTCCTAGAATAATAAAATTTTCAAATTGGCTTAGGAATGAAGCCAAATTTCAGGTTGGAAGAATCCAAATGTTAATCTGGCATGATTGGTACAGAATTACGTTGAATTGTTACATATGATATATGTGCAGACGACTCACTCCCCATATGGCACAAACTCACTCTTTTTTTCCTTTGTGTGCATGTGTTTTTATTATTATTATTTTTTGGGGTGGGGTGGGGTGGGGTGTTGTCTTGGGCGTTAATGAGGGGATGAGGTAGGATACATTTCTTAGATCTGAAACTGGAAAATCAGCTAAATGTTTTGTACATGTATTTATTTTCCACATCTTTATGGTAAAATCTGCATTTTGTGTAGGTTTCCATGCTGTTTGCGGAGTGGTACCAAATATGTGAACTTCCTGGTGCAAATGATGCTGCTTGTGCTCATTTTGTCTTAAAATTGCAGCACAGTGGACTTCTGAAAGGGGATGATATGTCAGACCGCTTTTTTCGTCACCTGATGGTGATTTTTCATTCCTGTTTGAAGCTATAACTATGTCAGAAGACTCTGGCTTATGAATTTAACCCTTCCCTTTTTCCACTCAGGAACTTTCCGTATCACATTGCCTATCTTCTGAGGTGATTAGTTTTGGTCCTTTGCAATCGTCTCAACAAGTACAACCACTGTCTTTCCTTGCTATTGACATATATGCAAAACTTGTCTTTGCAATCCTCAAGGTAGGTACATTTGTTTCTGCATTTCTACTTGTCTGGTCTTGCTTCTGTTTTTCCTATCTAATTTTTGTTTCATTTGACTTTTGTTGTAATTCTTCAAGTTCTGCTCTGTGGACCATGGATCTATTAAACTCTCTCTTCTGCCTAAGGTTCGAGTCCCAACTAATAGCTATATCAGTTTTTTTGTTGCTTCTGTGGTAGTGCTTTTTACTTAAAAAATGTTTTTTCACAGGTTTTGGGAGTAACCGTAAGATTTATTCAGAAAGATGCAGAGGAGAAGAAATCGTCTTTTAATCCAAGGCCATATTTCAGGTTGTTCCTGAACTGGCTGCTAGACCAGGGTTCCCTTGAACCTGTCTTTGATGGTGGAAACTTTCAGGTATGTTGCATTCACATTTGGTTCGCCATTGTTGTTTCATTCATCAGCTAAATTTTAGTTGGGTGTGTTCAGGTTTTGACTGCTTTTGCAAATGCATTCCACGCTTTGCAGCCCCTTAAAGTTCCTGCATTCAGGTTAGGATGCTAAACTTGCTTCATTATCTTTGTTAGTTACAACAGTACATGTTTTCACAACCCAGTACTGAATATTGATTTTGAGTGGTTCTCAATATTCTGCATAGTAAAACCAAATCTGAATTGCTGCTTTTGTTGGACGCTAAAAGGAGTTTCTTGGTTGATTTGCAAGGAAAACTTGTCTAAGTCACTGTTGCATGCTTGCTGATTATAGTACTTGTCTTGTCGTTTATGTACACCAAAAACTACATTGAGGTCATAGTTTTTCTGTGAAACCTCTTTATTTTGTCCTTCATGTTTGATGAATGCAAGTTCAAGTTAATGTGCATTATTTCGCTGATTCAGTAGTTAGATTCTGAATCTGTTTCTGATATAGAAGGTACTAAACTTTTGTGCACTAGGCAGGGTTTTTCTTACAAAGTAGAGACACATGTAAAAATTCCGTGTAAAATGTTGGGAGGCTACACTCCAAGTTCACGCTTCACATTTTCAGCTATTGTTAACGTAATATTGCAATCCCTCGGAGCCAGCCTTGAGTGAAAATTGGGGCAAAATAATTTCTGCTTTTAAGATTATTCAGTACTTCTGCTTTTAAGATCATCCTGTTCATCATCCTTCCAGTATAAAAGCCTTTTATTTGTAAATAAATTCCAATAGTAGCTTCTTTTCACACACTGCTTAATAACTTGGATGAATCGCTTTCAGCTTTGCGTGGCTTGAGGTGGTGAGTCACAGAAGTTTCATGCCAAAATTGCTGACAGGAAACTCCCAGAAGGGGTGGCCTTATTTTCAACGCTTGCTGGTAGATTTGTTCCAATTTCTGGAACCATTCCTGAGAAATGCTGAACTTGGAGAGCCGGTTTGCCTCTTACTTAGTTTGTGCTCTTATTGTTTGCCTTCCAATATTTCTTGCAGTTAATATCACCTTATATTCCTTCTGTTTTTCTCTGTTTGCAGGTTCATTTTCTTTATAAAGGCACACTCAGGGTCTTGCTAGTGCTACTTCATGATTTCCCAGAGTTCCTTTGTGATTATCATTTCAGCTTCTGTGATGTTATTCCTCCAAGCTGCATACAGATGCGAAACATAATCCTCAGTGCATTTCCCCGCAATATGAGGCTACCAGATCCATCTACTCCCAACTTAAAGGTGTCTGTGAGCATAAAGGACTACATGTAAATTGTTCAGAAATTGAAACTAATTTACTTTTGTTTTGTGCAGATTGATCTGCTAGCGGAGATCAGTCAATCACCACGCATTCTCTCTGAGGTTGATGCAGCTCTAAAAGCAAAGCAGATTAAGAGTGATGTAGATGAGTATCTCAAGGTATCTGGATTTCAGCCATTAGTTTTCTCCAATTCCCCCCTACCCAATCCTCATCACCACCACCACTTGCGATGTGTGTGTGTATATATATATATATATATATATACACACAAACATATATCTTGAGATAATTTTTGTTCTTTTTCCTAATTTTATGTCACCAGTCTCCTCTTTCATCACATTGTCTGCAGACAAGGCAACAAGGGTCATCATTTCTTTCTGATTTGAAGCAAAAACTGCTCCTTCCATCAAGTGATGCTGCCTGGGCTGGGACGCGGTACAATGTACCACTGATCAACTCCCTTGTGCTTTATGTTGGAATGCAGGTGCGTCCACGTGTTTGTTTTCTTTATCCTCTAATCGGCAAATAATACAAATAATATATAAAGCAGGAAGGATGGAAAGTCCTTCCAACTTCCCAAGAGAACGTACATAAAAACTGGATGGAACTCAATGCAATGTCCAGAAAAAAAGAAATTGGTCTCCTAATCCACCGAGCTCCTCAAGGAGTTCAAAAGTGACCTCTATTGAGAACCCAAAAAGTGCCTTGTGCTTTGCCAATGAATGCAACCTCCTGTGAGTCCAGAATGCATGGTAATTTTGTCTTAGTATCATCTTTGAAGATACTCCCTTTCCTAAATTACCTGGAGTCTCATTGGAGTATACATCAATATTAGAAGATCGAACAAATTATGTTCTCTCTTGAAGTGTTGTCCCTGCGATGGGAATAACTGTAGGGTCACTTTTTGAGAAATCGTGGCAATCCAAAACTCGTTTCCAAAGGCATTCCTTTAAACTCTTTATTAGAAGACTGAACAAATCCAAGAAATTGGATTCTACCCCTACTTATACAAATTACAAATTCATTTTTTCAGCGATCTTATGTGTCATGGAATAATGGCTAATGACAAAAGACCCGCTGAATTGTAGTCTCTTACCATTTTTTAGGGTGTCAGGATTAGAGCTTGGTGATGGCAAATTTCGTAACAAAAGCTGGAGTCTGGAAACTTTTATTTTCAAAAGTTAGTTTAAGTTGTTAGTGGCAAGTGAATGAAAGATCGGAGTTCGTCCCCCTTTTCACTCGAGATCAAAGTTCTGATTGATGTCATGATAAATCTTCTTTTCTAATGCATCTAATTATTTACCCTCTTCTGAAGGCATCTGATGCACTGTTTTCTGAATATATATGGGAGTATCACCAACTGACGCATTGAGCACAACTTATATAACCCATCGAAAATTAATTATTGTCAATTAGGCCAAGTTGCTGAATATCATGAACGTGGAGAACAATTTCTTGCTTTTTACCAGAACACTAGTCTGGGTAAATTTTAAATAACCTAAGTTTGCCATTATTAATTTTAGGAAAAACTAGAAAAATAGGCATTTGAAAAACTATTTTTGTACTAACCGTAATTTTCAAATTTCATACTAGTAAGATGTGCTTTGTGGAATGGGAAGGCATGCACTAATCAAGTTAGACGTGTATCTTATCTGATCATCCTCAATTAAGAGGTTGGATGAGAAAATCTTGTAAAAATTGAATGCATTGTTTTACTTTCATGGTATCTCTTCCAAGTTTCTATAAGCTTCTCTACCGTCTAAAAGTAAAAGAGAACTATATTGAGCGTTCTTTAATGAAACTTTACTTACAAAAAATAAAAAATAAAAAAATCGAACTATATTGAGTGGCAAAAGTCACTGAAGTTCCAGTTTTGTTTGGTTGATCTATTAAATTGGGCCCATGAGATAGTCAGCCTTGATCTTGTCATGTGGCATGATAGGACAGATCAATATGGACAAGCACCTAAAAATATGGAAGCTGACCAATTGAAAGGGATACTCTAGTGGCTTTGAGAATTTTTTCTGGAGTGTTTTTTTTTTTTTTTCCTTTCTAAAATGCCACAGGCTTATTAGTTTTGCAACTTCTCAACTTATTAACATTGTTGTCTATCTATATTAAATTATAAATTCTACATTTTTTAAACAAATGTTTTCGTTTAAATTTCCAAATTTGACATTTTTCAAGCACCTGATCTGTTCTATCTTTTTGCATGTGCCCTCGTGCAATATTTTATTTTATTTTTTAAAATCTTTGTTATTAGGGGGGATAAATATGATATTGCTAAAAAAATGATAGAAATTTCTAACTTTTGGAAGTGGTAATAGTAAACTTAAAAAGTAACTCTTTATTACTATTTTCTCTGCAAATAATTATGTGGTTTTCCATTGCTCACCTCCGGGCCACTGTTCTGTTAGGCCATACAGCAGCTGCAGGCAAGAACTCCTCCTCATGCACAGTCAATGGCCAGTAGTGTTCCCCTTGCTGTGTTCTTGGCTGGTGCTGCCTTGGACATCTTCCAGACTTTGATTGTGGATCTTGATACTGAGGGGCGGTACCTCTTTTTGAACGCGGTTGCTAACCAGCTACGTTATCCAAACAACCATACCCATTACTTCTCTTTCATCCTCCTTTACTTGTTTGCTGAATCCAACCAGGTGAGTAAGAGCTTCCAGTTTCTTATTTACTTGTGACGTCTTTTACTTTTGTGACTTTAGATGGACAATATTTTTAATTTGTGAGTGATTATATGAGCTCTCAGGTACATAATGTGGGTTACTTTGCATCTTAACATGTTGCAGGATCTAGTACAAGATGGGTTACATATGGGAGATTAATGATGGGGTTTGATGTTATATTCGGAAAAATAAATGACATATGATCAAGATGCTTTTCAACAATTTATTTTGAATATCTTCAACTTCTCTTTTCCAGAGTAGTCTTCCATAACTTAATTAAGAGAACTAGTATTATTTGATCCTCAGTCATCTGGTCATTCTAAATTTCTACGTGTGTCTTGGTGATTCTCTATTTTCTTCTTCATTTGGAAGCACATGCATCATAATTACGCTTATAGGGTTGAAATTCAACACTTACTGGTTGGATTGCAAATAGTATCATTTTTTTTTTTCTCATTTTGGGATTTATTGAATGGGGACGTGGAATTGACATGTATCTTGTGGAAAATTTGTTTTTATGCTGAACAGGAAATCATCCAGGAGCAAATCACAAGAGTTCTGTTGGAAAGACTGATTGTTAATCGCCCTCATCCATGGGGCCTTCTTATTACTTTCATTGAACTCATTAAGGTAATTCTATGTGCCTTAAGACTCATCACGCATATTATATGCGATTTGTGCAAAGTGCAGCCTTTTTAAAGTTTGTGTTTATGATTGACCAGAATCCTAGGTACAACTTCTGGAGTCGCTCATTTACAAGGTGCGCACCGGAGATTGAAAAACTGTTCGAATCGGTCTCAAGATCATGTGGGGGCCCAAAACCTGTGGGTGAGGGTGTGGTGTCAGGTGGCATATCTGACAATATGCACTAGTGTTAATTTCTTTTATTTAACACTTTTAATGTAAATATTTTAGTGTCGTCTATTTAACAAATTTAATGTAAATATTGTATTTTGCGTGTAAGTTCAACATGCCCTTATATTGAATACCATTAGAGCGGATAGCATGACAAAATATTGTACTAACGTTGCTTGACCTGATCACTTTCTGAACTACCTCTATTTTAACAATGAAAATGTCATTTGCCATTTATTTATGGTACTAGGTCTTTTCTTCTAGGGATGTATTAAACTATTCAATTTTCTTTCATATAAAATAATATAGCCATTGGGTCTCTCTAATTAACAAACGTGATTCTCGTCTTTGGACAAATCACAATCGTGATTTTATATGAATGCATGTTGCTAATTCTTTTTTTCAAAATGTTTTATTATTATTATTATTAGGGTAATTTACATAGACCTTTCCTATGGTTTTTCATAATTACAAGCGGTACTTTTTTTGTTTCGGAAATTACGCGGACCTTCCTTATTTTTTAAAATATCCTACATGGACCTTTCTTTTGTTGAGAGTCAATGACGGTTACTATTTTTCATGAAATGTTGAAAATACCCTTGTTCTTACCAATTGATATATATATATATATATATAAAAATATATATCTCTCTCTCTCTCTGCTAGTAGCATGATCTTTGTGGGTTTGTCCGTTTCATGGTAATGGATTATCGATCATCTTCATTTGGTATATATATATATATACACACACGTGCAGTCCACAACACCAAAGAGATCTGTAATGATCTGTCCGGTGGTATTTTTATACGTTTCCTCTGCTCAAAGCACTATCCGATATTTGACAATAAGGTTCCCAAAATTGATTTTTCAAGGTAGAAGAGGAGTGGTTTATGGGCATATTGGTTTTAAATGATTCGATTATTTATGGCCAGCCTTCATTTTTGCTCGCTGAGAAAACCAGACCCTTACCGTCGGCAAGAAACCAAAAAAAGACTCATATTTCTTTGTAACGAAGACAGAGACAGAGCGTAGCATACCTGATTGCGGAGTAGATTTCTACTAAATTTATATGCAGAACTGTTGGGACAATGGTAAAAACTCCTCAATTATGTTTCTGCTAATTTTGATTCTATTTTTATGCTTTGCAATGATGTGTAGTGGTTTGCATGCAATGTCAATAAATTTACTGGAAGCGCTAGAATCGATCAAGCCGAGTACATTTACTTACATAGAGGGCCTTCAGAAGCAGAAGGCTACTTATGGTAGCTGGTAGGTTCGAAAATTCCAAGGACACCAAACAACCAATTTCGCTGGGCACATATGTTATATTGCAGTCTTCCATATTTAATTCCCTGTTGCTACTTGATAACTGTAACTTCGAAAAGCTTAATTCAGGTGGGGATCCTTGAAAAAATGTTGGCCGGTCTAATTTGAAACAGCCGGATAGATTGAAATCAACGTGAAAATGCACAGAGGAATCTTCTGAAGATTATGACAATTCTTTAAATTCAAGACAACAAGATTTTTCAGATGTTCAATAGATTGGTGAACCTCTACCAGCTCTGTACCATCATTAACTGAGAAAACCAGACCCTCATATCATTGAGGAGTTTTTACCATTGTTCCAAAAGTTCTGCATATAAATTTATGCCAATCAATCAATTTGACCATTTCAAAACCATAGATATATATATATATATATATATATATATATACAAAGATAGATTAATAATCAGAGATATAAGTGAATAGAAGAGAGAGAGATCAAGAGAACCATGTGAGATTAAGGTTGGTGATTAGGCAATGTTTGAGCCAAAAGTGTCCAATTGGTTTGGAGATTCTTTTGATCATCCCTTTGAAGAAGAAGCTTTTCCTTTGGGCTTGGTTAGCCAAGATTGTCTCTGTGTTGGTGGTGACGGCGACGGCGGTAGAAGGAGGTGGCGGAAGAAGTCGCCGGTGGTGGGAGGAGATGGCGATGGAAGAAGTCGCCGGCGGTGGAAAGAGATTGAGCAGAATATTTATTTTTTTAATTAAAAGCTAATGGGTATTTTAGTAATTTCAGATGCCAAGGAGAGGGTATTTCGGTAATTTTAACAGGTCAGTTAGTGTATTTAATTGTCCGTCATCGCTAAAGTATATTGCAGTCTCACTATAGCGACAAAACAGAAGGGGGAGCAACGCCATGCCTTCCTCACTAGGTATAACTTGGAAATGAGCATAGTGGATGATCGTGACTAGACCACGACAATTCAAGTTGTCAATGAAATAAACAGTCACACTTTGTGTACCTTGTTTTGATTTATGGTTCATATGCCTCAAATCAAACAACTGGGAGTTGTTATCCTTGTTCGAATAAGTGAGATTGACAGCCTCTCACATCACAGAAGTTTTTAAGCTTTCTCATTGTAAATTTAGTACCAAAATCAATTCTAAGCCATGATCAATGGGCACCTGCTCAATCCTCCTATCCTAGTGCCTCCAGAATTAGGTTGCCTCCTATTGCTCTTTATGCCGGTGTTTGATTCCTCCATGGGTTGTATATTGGGACAACATAACGCCTCGGCTCGCAAAGAACAGGTCACCTACTAACTGTTGGTAAGATATGAATACCAACACAGTTTCTACAGATATAAAATGGTAAAATAAATTTGCCTTGACCCTTCTCTTCTTCTTACCCTATTTATAGCCTACATGAAGTCAAACGGTCAAAGTAGCCTTTGGAAACAAATTTGGACACTTTCGATCAACCGAGTGTATACATGTACGCATAAACCTCAGTTCATTCATACTTTTAACCCAATGTCTACTGTGTTTTAGCACGCAATAAATTTATACAATTCTAGTACCCAAGGTGTAAAATTTATGGGTTCTAAGAAGAGAAAGTTTTTGGAACCTAAAGGAGAGCAAACACTCTGCCCTGAGCTCCGGTAGAACTAGCAGGACGCGTGCTTTGCACTGACGCCATTGGCTGTGGTGCCTGAGGAACTCTGAAACTCACGTTGCTGATATTTTCGTCCCTAAAGTGTTCAGCATGGTATTCTAATGCGACAAAATGTTGATCATGTTAAATTATTCTTTAATCATTCTATAGCTATTGCGATGAAACTTAGGTTTGATGTTAACGACCAAATTTAATCTTCTTAAACCTGTTTTAACGACAGGAGTATTCTGTTGCTAAAGTATTCCCCCATATCAATAGCTACAAAGTTGCAGTCGTCCTTAACCTTTTAGCGACGTGCTTTTCATAAACCCAAGTTCTACAAATCAACAGAAGAGATCCCGCGTTGGTATTGTGATTTTTTGAAAATCTAATATGCATGGGTGTTAGAAACGAACATTAATCAATTTAGTGTTATAAATCAAATACTATTTATAACCTAATCTCCCTCACCTTTCGAAAGAAAATTATGAACTACTTCCTCTTTACCACCTGGGATTGCTTGATTGTCACTTGCAACCTGTGACTAAACATTAATAAGCGACGGATTTAATCATTGAAATTTTCCTATTTGAAAAGGTTTAAAAAACGAACAATCTCAATTCTCTGCAATGGCATATGGTGGTGTGATAATGTGATATATAGCATTACAGAATAAAAATTAAATGTAACCAGTTCCATGTAACTAGATTCAAACAATCAAATTCAGATGCCGTGTTGCTAGATGAAAAGGCTTTTGACCTGACCGCCCATGCAAATTGGCTTCCACAACATATTGAAATATGTAATGGAGCCAAAAATACCTGCTTCCTTTTCAACAATTCATAGATCACAAACAAACTATGAGATATAAAAAATTAAGTCCATCCATCATCCACCATCCACCATCTAATATCTTTCTTTGTTCATGCAAATCCAAAACTCATATGTAGCAAACTTTTACATATTACAACTTAAGACTCTCTACGAACAAAGTAAAGCTTACCCATGACATGAAGAATGGCAACAAAAGCTATGAAGCCAATGCTCATGACCAAAACAACATTGGGAGAGATCTTTAATCCAGGTGCATCATCCGTGTAAAATTGGAGCATGGTGCCACTTGCTCCTCCCGTGGCCCCACCAGCACTTGCGGTCCTCCTCCTCCGCAGGTTGGCAGCAGCAGCTGCTGCACTTCCTCTTGGAGGGGCTGCTCCATTTAACGCCATTTCTGTAACAAAACCATTTAAAAGTTTACAACCAATCACTCATTACATTCCAAGATAGCCTAACACATTGTGGCATTTGCAGGTGAAAGACAATGGGTTTGGTCCAGAACTGTATACTCCGTAGAATCCACATTGGCGTGTCACGTAAGCATATATGAAAAACAATGTCGTCAGCTAGATGTTCCTCTTGTTTTGTTTTATCTTTTTTAAGCCCGTCACACCATATAAGTGCTACAAGTGCATCATCCTTGTTTTCATTTGATGAACCCCATAAGTTCCTCTATGAAAGATCCTCAAATGGAAAAATAATATCTTGGAGACATTATTATGCATTTATAAGTGCTTTACTTCTTGCTGATAGTTGATAAAATCAACGAAAGCACTAGATATAATTTATATTTTCCATTTCAAAAATACATTAAGAAAAAATAAAACCATTTATCTGCAGTCTATTAGGAATAATGAGAAAGAGGTACTACCACCAATAACATTGTCAAATCATCCACAAATTATAAAAAGTCAAAATTTCTTGTATTTATTTTTCATAGGAGCCACAGCTTGGGCTTTCAAGCATATGCATATGCAGATGCAGATTCAAATATTGAGAGCAAACACTTGTACAAGTAATGCCAAAAGTTAAAGTCCATATCCAGTTTATCCCCCCAAACACCCTAGATTCACAGGAACCACACTGGATACTGTTAACACATTGTATTCATAATTTTATGACGAATAACACATATATTAATGCTCAACTACTAAAATTACAAATTATAATAAAAAGTAGGGATGGTTCACCATTAAAATCAATTAGAGCATCAAGCTCTCTAATTGTCTACAAACAAGGACATATAATGAAACAAAAATAACTTCTCAAGATCAAAATCCTGATATCTCTCAGCTCTAATCTCGGACTTCAGTAAAGTGCCTATGTAACTTAAATTTAAATTTGTTTTCCCCATTGGCATGAAGCACATGCACTGATGCACACCACTCACACACCCGTGACACCCACTTTGCCCCTTTGGGGACTTGAACCCTCACCATCCACTTTGGAAGGTGGAAGAGATACTACTAGACCACAAGGCCCTTGGTGCCTATGTAACTTAATGACCAGTTATGTTTTTTTGAAAATTAATCATCAGAAGGCATCCAACAATGGCAGCCATCAATGTAAATGGAAAGGAAATTAAAAATCAGCAGGTATCAAGAAATCCTAAAACATCTCCATATACATTCTGCACTCTATATTTCCTTGTTTCCACACTTGATGGACTAGTTTATTCATATGCCACATGTCTAATACAATGAAGCCACTCAGTAACCATGGGATAGCAAGGGGAACAAAAAAATACAGATAATTCCAGCATTTTTATTTATTTATAATGTTCAGATCATAAAAATATAGATTCCTAGAAGCAAGCAGTAAAGCCAGGTATATAAACAATGCATCACATGGGAAAATTGGAATGACACTAGTCAAATGACACTAACAATTTCCTGAGTAACCATTTATATAGAAAACAGCAGCACAACGGACACCAGAATACTGCAGAAACACCTTTATCTTCTAAGCAAACACATCAAACATATAGAGATTAGAGCACATCCTTTCCCTAATTAAAAAACCATCACACAAAAAATAGTAAAATGTGCAAATCCCTCTAACCTGGAAGGACAATCAACAGTTGTTCCATCACATAGATTTTAAGTATTCATGAATGCTCTACAATATCAAACTATGGTATGTGGAGGAAAGCATAAAAATGCACAAAATGAAACAAAATTAAGGACCTCTTCTTTACCTAAAATTTGAACTGCGGAAGAGGGATAGATGAGGGTTTTGCTTTAAACTCAAGTATTGCTTGTCCCTATGAGTTTTTTCTCTGGGAGGTAGCCAAAGGGGTTCTCGTGCATTAATGTGAGTCTTGGGGTTGTATTGCATCCAGTAAATTATACGGTAGGAGTGTGGGGATTAGTTCTTAACCATGGATGAAGATTTATTGCAGCAAGTTCAGAGTTCTTCATTATCCTTTGACGAGAAAGAAGCTATTGAAATTTTTGTTAAAGATATTAAGGAGGGTAAAAATGTTGGTAGCACATTACCAACAAAACTGCAAATATCTTTGCTCTACGTAAAGTCATAGGAAGATTGTGGAACTGTGAAAAAGTGTTGCAAATTACAAAGTTGACACATTGGGTGTTTCAATTTATACTCCCCAAGGAAGAGGGGGTCAAATGGATTTTAGTCTTGCTCAAGATTGGGGTTTTAACACAGAAGTGAGGAGGTCCAGGGGGCTCCCACTCATCTTCGTACAGTAGTGTTAGACATCTGCAACTGGTAGATGGTCCATGAGGAATTCAAATTGCAGTCAATCTGCAGAGAAGCAAATGTTGTGGCTCATAGTTTAGGATCCTTGGCTTTACACAACAGGACTAATAATGTCAATTGATAATGCTTTTCCAGTAGAAGTGTTGGAATTGGCCTCTGTAGCAGCACTGGATTGATGTATTATGTTTCTTTCATCTAATATTATTTTATTTTTTAGCCATGAAAAAAAAAAAAAAAAAAACAAACCACTTTGGAGGCACATTCATAAAAAGTTTTCCTTTTCCTAAAAAATTTCCAAAACATACATGTAACCAAAAAACACACACAAGTATATGTATATGTATTTCCTCAAAATCAGATCATAAATCACATTTGCCCCGCAAAAAATACATTACATCAATCTAGCAGAAGATATAGCTTAGAACGCAATAGAATCAATCAAAAAGTAGATCATAATCGACTAATCAAACTCGACTAAGCACAAATCAATCATTAAAATCATCAAACTGCGAAAATTTACACAAAGAATTAGAAAATCATAGCATATCTAGAAATTCAACACCTAAACCCAAGCGAAAGAATCAGATCTCGTGTTTTCTTCTACCATGAACAAATCAAAATCGCAATACCTCAAAATTCAAAGATCGCACATTGTACAACATAAATCAGAGATCATCTATATAATGCGTGTAGAGATTGAAGAAGAGTCGCAGAACTTGCCTTAGTCTTGGGATTCGAAGAATTGCTCTCTTTCAGACCACCCGATTCTGTAGATCCGATAATTGTTTGTGAGAGTCCGACTTCGGAAACCCTTATATACGTCAATATATATATACACAGATGTAGATACATAACGATCAGTGCAGGAGCATATGCGTACGCGAACTTGTCCAACCAATGGTTTCTTGCCACGTTTCTAGGGATGAATTCCAAACCACGATTCTGTCTTACTACCCTTCTCTTGGTTTGTTGTAATAAAGTCATTTGTCACGCATTAAATTCGAATGAGAAAATGATCGGTATAAATTGATCGGTATTTATTATTACTCACCGGTTTAAGTTTAAGTTTTTAGATAAATGGATAAGCGTCCATCTGTTATAATTGGTATCAAAGTCAGACTCAATTTTTGATCCGGTATCACGCTAAGCACCCAATTTGAAAGGCGTTCTGTTGCGAGTTTGGATGGGAGAAAATATAACAAAGGTCATTTGTCTCTCATCGGATCCAAATAAGAAAGTGGTTATGTATAAATGGATGGGTATGCAGCACTACCCTACCCACCAGCTTAAATTAATTGGTAAATGAGCAAGCGCCAATCCGTTATATTTGACCTTTTCTATTTAACCTCACTTTTAAATTAAAATAATTCAATAACTACGGGAAAAAAATAATAATAATTGAACCAACTCTTTTGATGTAGGCTAGCAAAAAGTATAGGAGGAGTTGTAATTATTTTATGAGAGGTGTGTAAAGGTTGGGTCATTGTCTTCCAAGTAGTCAAGTACGAACACCATGTAATGTTTTTTTATTTTATTTTTAGTCTTGATAAAAATATTTTGGTAACAAAATTAAATGAATAAAAATGCATCTTGGAAGGGGTGGGAGCTGGGAGGCGTTGAGTAAAAAATTGATGATTCATCTTTAAAATGAAATAAGTATGTGAGTTATGAATATGAATCAAAATTCTTTTTGATACACAACCCCACTCCTGCATCAGATTTATATTGAAATTTCACTATTATAATAGTAAAATTTTATCATTAATACATCAATAAAAGTGATAAAATTTACTATTTAAATGGCTAAATTCTAAATACAAAACACATAAATTTAACAAATATGGTTAAATTTTAGAGTAAATTGCGCTAACTTCCTTTGAGATTTGGGTAAACCTTACACAAGTAGAGTATTTAAGATTTATTGTTTTGACTTCCCTTGAGGTTTGGGTGTATGCTTAACAACCTCCCCTCTCCATCAAAACTTCTAAAAAATATATATATATTTATAAAATTACCAAGTTGCCCTTACACTCATTTTTTTTAATTATTTTACAAGAATTTTTTTAAGAGAGTGTAACAGTAGTGGAGAGGAGAAGAGAGAGAGAGAAAGTAGTAATAAGAAAGAGGAGAGAATAATTGATTTTTTTTAATTTTATAATATATTTTGTATTATAAAAATATATTCCATATAAGGATATAATTGACTCGTACGGAAGGAGGAGGGTAAAAAACCTCAAACACTCCACCATGTGAGATTTGCCCAAACGTCAGGTGAGAAATGTAATTTAGCATAAATTTTATCTCAAACTCACCAGTGATAAAATTTCTTTTTAACAGTGGTAACATTTTAAGTACAAACGACACAATCTTTTGGCATATTTGAGTCATTGGACTGGCAACGTAAAATAGTTAGACATACTTTTGTAGTGAAGAAGAACGTAACATGAAATACTTCTTCTTTGCCTATTCTATATATATAAATTCTAAATGAGGTGCAGAATGCTGCTGCTTCCTCTCATAATCTACATGGAGTGCATGCTGCTGCTCTCTCTCCTAATCAAAGTCCTCAGTAGTGTGTGTGACCAAATATTGTGCCAAACTTCCAAGTGTGAACAGAATTGTGCTACATGACTACAAGTGATAGTGAACTGAATGCAACTAAAATGATAATTATGCTAATTTGTCCTAACATTCCATAGGCACATACAACAATTAACACATCAATGCATTATGCATAGAACAATATACATACAACTTAAAAGGGTCCATTTCTGCTACCATGAAGTTCACATTTCACTCTTACACGATCGATTGAGAGAATACTCTTCGTTGAAATTTTCAAGCCTAATCAAAAGAGGAACTACCAGAAAATATAGTTACATGTAGATATTAATACAAAAGAAACTTGGTACTAACGTAGCTATTCTGAATCCTGGCTTTCAGGATCTGGAATTTTACGGAAACGAGCAGAAGATCGGAAATATGATGTTTCCCTACTATTTGGAATCACTGTTCTCTTCCGTTTTGCAGCAAATCCTTCCCCAGAAATTAAATCAGATAGAGTCCCCGTGCTGTTTTTCTCTCTAATCCTATTATTCTCATCCAAAAACCTACAAAATAAGGAAGCAAATTTTAAGAAAGGTAGGACCTACGATCAAACTTAAAGGCAGAAAATAAAAATAGTATTTACATAGCAGAAAACTAAATTATGTGCATCCTATCCACATGCACGTTAGCTATAGCTTCTTTAACATGTAATATCAGATGCAGGTGAATGTTATTATAATATACAGGTCACTACAATTGCAATTACATATACATAATCTCATTTTAGATGTGAAATAGGAAAGAGGAATACTACATCAAAAACATAAGAAGCAGGTGATAACTGCATACTGAATTCCCCACAAACCAGCAAAAATATAGAAAGGCTCATACGAGGCAATTGAAGCCTTACCGCTCACGAATAATTCTGAAGGCTTCTTTCGTTGCATAAGGAAGCCCTGTCTTTGGATCACGGTACCTACATTATTATACGATAATTCAAACAACAATTAAACAATAAACAAAGGTACAATTGCAATTTATTTATTTATTTTTTATATAAAAAAGGAAAGAAAAGAAAAAGAAAAAACAGATGCATAGTCCTCAATAAGAACAACAATCTGACAATGCATCTTAGACAACAAAAAATTATAGACAACCAATAATCACCACTAACAAAAATAAATTCTTACTTCGCAGGCAACCCAGTAACTGCACAGACAGCCTTCTGCGGGTCTGAAAAGGAAACATAAAGTAAATCAATCGACAATAATTAGAGGTATAGCAAAAGGATACTATTTCAAGAATTCTCTAAACCCTTAATTGCACCCCTTTCTTTACATGGGATACCAGCACATAACCCTACATGATTTTAAGAGATCTATGGGATTGGTTCCATGATCTTCTCCATCAAATGAGTTGTATTTTTATGTTTAACCTTTTCGTATCTCAGATATCCCCCTTTGGCTACCACAATGGAAAGAAAACTAAAAGAGAAAAAATATGCATTAAACCCCTTTTGCTTAGTGTTAATCTTATTATAGAAATAAAATCTATATATTAATAAAAATACGAGGGCACAACAAATGATGGAATGATATGGAAGCTTTAACCAATACTTTCGGCATACATGAAGACACTCATGTTAATAGATTTAACACCTAAACATCCATAGACATGAAATCACTGTCAATACTTTCAGCACGCATGAAGACACTAGTGCACAAAAATTATAGTATGCTTACATGGAGCTGAAGTTGTGGAAATCTCTGATTGGAAAGACGATCCTCCAGTGAATTCTATACACGAATGACCTGTAATAAATGACTGATCAAAATCAAATGGTTCCAAAAGAATCTTGTGTGAAAATCCAATATTACGAAATTGTAATCTATGGTACAAGATTGGGTGCGGGTTGTATGCATGTCGGATCTTCCAAGGAAGAATCTTAGAACCCAGGAGAATGTGTCCAACAGTTGGATACAGGTACACAAACACATACTATGCATTTAAATACATTATATGTTATGTTATATGGTGTAATATCTGATGTTCACATATTCTTTAAGAATATTATAATTTAATTTAAATGAAATATTGCACAAGAAAAAAAGAAAAGAAAAAGAGTTTCTATCTGTCTAAAAAAATATAGGAACTTGACTCTACCATCAAAAGAGAGTTTTACTTCTTGTAAAGGATAGGGGTGTCTGATTTAGGTTCTTGTGTACCCACATCATGTCGTGTTGACATGGGTACATGATGGGAGATTGGACAGTCTATGCAACATAGATTGTAATGCAATAAAGGGCAATTAAAGAGGAAAGACTGAAGCAAAAGGATTATTTTTTTATTCAGCTGCACTGCAAAAATGAGAAGTTGCACATTCTCATTCTGACACATGACTAAAATTCAGCTTACTGAGAAATGTTGGAAAGCTTGCCATCTCTAGAAAGATATCGAATCTGAGGGCCACTATAAACTGCTTTATGCACAATTGCTCTTTTCTTAACTTCTTCCTCCCTTGCTAACACCCGCTCCAAGTTCCTCAAGTTCATAATTTCTACAACATAAAAAAATTCACACAAAACCTTTTTGAATTTCTGCAAATTGAGATCATCCTGTAAGAAAGAAGCAACCTGAAAATTCATATTAAACAAATGATCGATACACCATATTTTAAAATTAATACTTAGGCCTAAACCTGTTTGAGCTGCTTCAAGAAGCATCTCTTCTTGAGTCATCCTCTTTTCTTCGCCTTCCTTTCTCCTTTTTATAGGCTGATAATAACAGGAAGTATTGGTTTCAAACTAAATGAATGATCTAAAATTGATAGTAACTTTTAAGTTCATACTTTTAGGAGGTTTTCACGGGAAGTAACTTTTAGAGATATGGTTAGAACTGAGAAGTAACTTAACATCAAAGGAAATAAAAATACATAAAAATAAAAATAAAAATAAAAAATGAAAAACAATTCAATTAAAAAAATCATATATATAAATATGGAGGGGGCAGACCAACTTTGAAAAAAGACGACATACACATATATCAACCTCCTCTTTGAAACGAGAAAGAACATAGACAAAATGATCCTTAGCCTAGCCATTTCAATGATTCTAATAGGGTTTTCAGAACAACAGAATTAGTATAGCTAAAACTCCAAAAAGCTTGTTGTTCATTTATTTTTTTCCGAACCCCTTCATTTCATTGAGAAATTGCTACATTTCATGTACTAGTTGTACAGCACTTATCAAGTTAATTGAGTTGGTGAAGCTGATAATAGGATCTAGAACAATGTAAGAGTTAAGAGTCTTTACATTATGCATCTAAATCCCAGTGTCTTTAATAGAAAGAACATTATTCTTAAGGCCCTCTTCATATACGCATCTCAAACCTTTTGAGATGCTTTTAATTTCTTTAACAAGAAAGTAATATATGGGCCTGAAATAAAATATTTCATAAGATTTATTTTTGGGTTTGAGAGACATATTGTATAATTTATATAGAGCTTAACAAATATTATTAGTTTTATCCCCAGGTTTTACTTTCTTATTAAAGAAATAAAAACATTTAAGATCTATTAATAACCCAAAAAGAGATGTTCTATCCATATTCTCATATCAGCAAGAACAAAGTCTACAATCAAACTTAAGCCTCACCTTCATTGTTGCTTGCAATGCTGCACGTATTGCATCTCTTTCAGCCTGCTTAACAATGACAGAAGTTCTTGTGGATTTCCTAACAATTCTCTCTACTTCTAAATCATCAGGAACATCATCATGTTTAGGGAGGGTAGATTGATCGTCAGTTTTTTCATCCTGGGGGTCTTTTTCTAGTTTCGAAAGGTCCTTCTTTTTCTTTTTTTTCTTCGGCAATTGCTTTCCTGGAAATATTAGTCGCTTCTTTGTCCGTATCCTGTAAAATAACTTAACATCTAAGTTGTACAAAAATTGAAATAAGATAGTCCATTGGCATGGAGAAATCAAACCTGTCATCTGCTTCGTTTTCTACTTCTTCATCAGGTTCAGGTTCCTGGTAACAATATAAGTTCACTAAATTTTGGATCGTAAGGAAGCTCAAATGGACTAGAATATTAAAATGCATACTGAAGTGTGAAAGAGGTAGCTATATATTTCCTATTTGGTTGCTAAATATATTATGTTTGAGAAAAACCTCAAAGAACATACATCTTCATCAAAGTCACTGTCAAAAACATCAGCAACCTCTGTTTCTTCTTCATAGTTTACATCATCCTCTTCCTGAGCAACATGTGAACAAACTCAATCCAATATATACATATATGTATATGTATATATATATATATATATATATATATATTAGTATAAAACTGCATATTTCATTCTAGCAATTAGCATGCAGTAAAAACCTCTTTTAAAGCCTCCTGATTCCAGAACATCTCATCCTCTTCAATCTCGTCATCAAGCAACTTAGTCATCCTAACAAGGAAAAAGCTAAGTCACATAAAGAGGGAGCGGGAGCGATTTCGGGAGAGGGAGAGGGAGAGCGAAAGCAACAAAATTAAGTTACAAATAGTGGAAACTGGAGCGCTCAGAGCATGAGAGCAGGTGCACCCGTTGAAAAGGATTATGTGACTTAGGGAAAAAGTCTAGTGTCAAAAGCATTCAATATCTTAAACAGAATTTCATATCTTACCTTTGACAAATACATTACAAATTTTGATCCTAGGACTTATAGAGCATCAGATGTGCAATACTAAAGATACACAACCATATTCATATACGCTTTCTGTATGCTTCACACAATCTATATATACATAGAAATGCATACCTTTTCCCTCTCGTAGCTCGAGAAGTACGATCGAGAAAAAAATGGTCATCTTCTTTGCTGGTTTCCATGTCAGTAAACGATTTTCACTTTCTGCTACTACCCAATTTGTACTCTTCCACTTCAAAATTCGATAATTTCTTCACCTTCGTATATGACTATCTATAAGAAATTTAGAAACTTTATGTAAATACTCACAATTAAATTGGCTAACAACAACAATAATAACCCAGAATATAATTAGCAATAACAAAAATCTTTCTTTTAGAATTGAAGAAACAAGTATATACATATTCGCTAAAAAATATTGAAAAAGTTAAAACAGATACAATATGAATAATAATTTATGCGCGTGACATTTATTAAAAAGGTGAAAATACTCAAAACCCTCGAGAAATCTAACCTAAATCACAATAAGGCCTCCAATTGTGACCAGTAATAGGTTAACTAAGGTTAGGGATTTCAATAAACTAGGAAACAAAGGAGAGAGAGAGAGAGAGAGAGGGAGGGGAGAGAGAGAAGGTCCCGAATAATGTCGAACAGCGAAAACCGAACCGAACCGCGGTCTGTGGGCCCATGAGGATTGCCCAGATTTGGATAAAATTATAATCACCACCCCTAATGTATAGCATAAATATATTAGCATCTCCTATTGATTTAAGAATTACACTAATGGTCAACAAAATTAAATTTTAAAGTACAATAAGTTGTGGCAAAGAAAACATATATACAAAATTTGTCTTTGCCTTTTCATTTTAAACTCACTTTGCAATTAAAATAGTTCAATAACTATTTGAAAAAAAAAAAAAAAAAAAAAAAAAGAGGATAAAACTGACTCTTTTTAGGTAGTCTAACAAATATATTCAATTGAAGAAGTTAGTATAATTAAATTATAGAACAGTAGGGCTGTAAACGAGTAGAGTGTTCGGGCTCGGTTCGTCACAGCCGGTGTTATTAAAAGCGCACCAGGGCGCAAGGCGCCTACAGGCGCACCTTATGCGCCTCATGCTAGCCCAGGCGCAGCGACCTTCACTAGGTGCGCGCCTGGGCTGCGCCTTGGATATTTTAAAAGGCACGCTTAGGCGCGCTTCATATATTCTGTGCTCCTTTTATAATTTGTTTGTGTGTTTCCTTTGATGTATTACGTGTACTATGTGTTTGCTTTTTTACTTTATATTATTATATATATATAGTTACAGCTTTTGGAAACTGAAAGTACAAAATGGAAACTTAAAGTACAAAATGAAAATTTGTCTTCTTGTGACTTGTGAGGCAACCCAATGTCTCCCAATAGTCAACAAAACAAATCAATCAAGAGCAAAAGTTGTAGCAGAAATAAAGATGTGAGGGAGTGGGAAAGAGAAGAGAAGAGAGAAAGAAAGAGAGAGAGAGAGAAGAGAAGAGAAGAGAAGAGGAGAGGAGAGGGCTATCAGTTGCCTCCATCCGGCCAGGAATCACCGAATCAACTTAACAGGTCAATTTTGTTTTTTTTTTTTTTTCCTTCTCCAGTTCTCCTCTTCTCTCTCTCTCTTCATTTGCTCTAATCTCTATATCTCGCCCTATTTTATTTATTTATTTATTTTTTTGTTTGAGTCTCTTTTTTTCTTCTTCTTCTCTATTTCTCTGATTTTCTTCTTTCTTTTTCTGGGTCTCTAGTAGACTGGTATATTTTTTTTTTTCTAGGTCTCTTTTATTTTTTTTCTTCTATCTTTTTCTCCGTCTCTGTTTTTTTTTTTTTTTTCTTCTTTCTTTTTCTCCGTCTCGGTTTCTGTTCTTCTAGGTCTCTTTTTTTCTTCCTCCTCTCTATATATCTGGTTTTGTGTTTTTCTAGCTCTTTCTTTTTCTGGGTCTCTTTTATTTTATTTTTCTTCTATCTTTTTCTCCATCTCTGTTTTTGTTCTTGTGGGTCTCTGTTTTTTTTTCTTCTTTCTTTTTCTTCATCTACCCCTCTCCCGTGTCTTGCTATATATATATATATATATATTTTTTTTTTTTTTTCCTCTCTAGCCTGTATTTTTTTTCTCGTTGTATTTTTTCCCATCATTTTCAACTTCTTGGTGTATAGCTGTAATATCTGTACGCTCTTCATCATCAAAGTCTTCAGCAAACATAGTTTGCGGTGCTATATTACCCGTAGGAGAATCAGTACACCACCTCACCCTTTAATAAAGAAATACCGAACAGAATAAGACTTTTTAAAATTATTATTTTTTTATTGTCTGTTGCATCTTAATTGTTGTAAAATTTCAGATTCTGTTTTTGTTCTCTCTGGCCTTCATTTTTTTTCCCTTCATCTACTCTACCGTATTTTCTTTCTTTTCTTTTTTTTTTTAATGTCTGACTTTTTCTTCCAATAATCTCTCTCTCATTTTTTTCTCCCTTCTTCTTTGAAGGCTGTCTGTCTCTTTTTTTTTTTTTGTTGTTGTTGTGTTCTGCTGAATTTTGCTACATGGATTATTTAAATTTTGAATGCATCTTTCTGAATGGTGTTTGCTGAAAGTGTGAATGTTGTTTGCTGAATTTAACTTGGTCCATCACTCCATTGACTCCATTCTATTTCTCATTGTAAATACTAAATAGATAGGAAAAAATGTCAAAGGATTCAGCTTTATTGGTTTAATTGTGATATATTTAGACTAATTTAGTGTTTTTATTATTGGATGTTCATTATTTAATTGTGTTATTTTTGCTAAGAATTATTGTTTTAAAATTTTACTTGTGCGCCTCTCATCACTCAGGCTCGCGCCTCGCGCCTAGGCTCCAAGGGACCTTTAGCACCTCGGTGCGCCTTGGGCTTTTAATAACTATGGTCATAGCTAAAGGTTGCTTTAGGGTAGTCTAACAAATATATCGTCAATTGATTGGGGCTCTTGGCGTTGCTGTGGTCGTCGCGTGCTTGAGAGGGGTGGTTTGTCAGCTAGGTTGTGAGATGGAGAGAGGAGCTAGCAGTGTTTTTTTTTGGGTAAAGTACAGCAACAGATACAAGTTACTCTATTTTTTGACAATGACACCCCCTCATGAGATTTGCAATCTAAACAGAGCCTAAAATCATGTGAAAAGTCTACTTTATCCTTCACTGTTTAATTAATTTTAATTTAATTAATTTTAATTTTAAAATTACCCTTTGCCTCTCTCTTCCCCTTCTCTATTTGTATATATATATATATACACATACGGCGCCGCCACCACCCATCGTCCACTGCGCATCCCCCGCCACCACCACCCAGATCTCGCCCGCTTGTATATTTTTCGCAATCTTCTTCCTTTCCCTCTTCTATGTTTTCCACCCCTATACCATTTTTTCTTACAACTTAGCCACATATGTTAGATTATAGTGCGATAGTAAAGTCGGTAATAAAGCAAATGAAATTAACATTTTTTAATTGATCCTGTGATAAGTTGTACTTCAAGTGAAGTATAATATGGGTTCAAGCATAAGGATTCTATGAATTTCTACATAAATTAGCTAACTGAATGGAATATATGAAAGCATTGGGATGTAAAAAAGGTTAATTCAAAACAACGGAAACTACACTGTCTCACCTTTTGCAGAAGAGGTTTTTCATATTGTTCAGCGAGAAGACAGCTTCACCTTCACTTCCTAAATCCAATTGCAGAAGTTCCAAAAATCTGCAAAACTTTAGGTTCTCACTTACTGTATGATTTGTGAAAATCGACATTTAAAATGCAGCGATCGATCTCATGTACACTACTTACAAAATGTTGATTCCAATCTCTTGGCTGAAGAATTCCACCAAATATCTGGTGTGATGATGATGCGCGTGAAGGGTGAACCCCGACGGCTCAGGTGTGATGATGATATGGCGGCGGCGGCGGGGGAAGCCGAGGTGTGATGATGAGGCAGTGGCGGCGGTGGCTGAGGGGTGATGATGATGTGGTGGCGGTGGCGACGGGCGACGGTATTTGTAGTGTGTACATATATATATATAATATCATACAGAGAGAGGCTGCAGGGCCGGCCCTGAGATTCCAAATATTTTGAGAGGCCTTAGGCAAACTTTCAAATGTGAGGCCCTTAAGTTTCACACGCGCAAAAAAAATTATAAGAGTGCGGAATTTTCACACGATGTTTTCAAATTTTATAGCTAATTTAATTATGCGCGTGTGAATTGTGCATAAGACAACTAACTAATAACTATAATCTTCATTCATTAAATCTTCATGTTCATTGACTAACTTTCTATGAAAAAAAAAATATAAAAAAAAAATATAATGGTGGTATGTATCTTCATATAAAAATAAAATATAAAAAAAAAACCCTTAATTTGGCACTTTTAAGTATGAGCATAATTTAGAGATCGAAAAAGTTAATTATTACCTCAACGGCTCAACCCACTAGAAGGGATCCTTAATTTTCGTAGGATTGAATGTGAAAATGCAAAAACTTATGAGGGAAAGGGGTATGATTGCTGCTGTTGTGAGATTGGAGTGGAATTAGGGGGAGGAAAAAAAAAAAAAAAGTGCCTGCCATAGATTATGGACTCGATCGCCATGAAAGTCACATGTAGAAAAGCACACGTTTATTTTTGATAGCCATCACACACAGTGACACACACAAAAAAATCCTAGATTGGAAGCTACTTTTCACTATTGGAACAAGGGTAAAGGCCCGAATCAAACGAACCAAAGTAAGAACAAATCAAATGATGAGATGAACGAAAGAAAGAAACATATATAAAAGATCGATTCATGCAAAAGGAGAGAGAAGAGAGAAAGAGGATGAACATACCTTGTCACCTGAGGCGATAGCGGAGGCTGCGTCCTGCGGAGTGTCGAAGCAGATTGGGTCGTCTGAAACTTGCCCTAACTCAATACTCCGTTTTTTTTTTTTTTTACATCTCCTATGGGCCTCAAAATTTGAGGCCCAAGGCGACCAAGACTTCCCCTAACTGAAAATATTTTTTTCTCCATTTCTATGGGCCTCAAAATTTTGAGGCCCTCTAAAATTTGAGGCCCAAGGCGACCGCCTTGGGCCAGGGCCGGCCCTGAGGGGCTGTGTGTGTGAGGTAAAGGGTTTGAGAGGGGAAGGAGAAGAAAGTGATAAGATATCAAAGGGGTATTTTAGTTACTCGTAATAAAAAGGATTATATCTGTTAATTTTATACCGAATGGTAATATAGTCCTTCATCATTATAAAGGTTGTCTTTGTCCATTTTGTCAAGTGTGAGGTGTGTCATTGTCTAAAATGTTGAGTAACTTATATATGTGTGTCCTTTCAGTTAGGAGGTGGCTTCACAGTTTGGGCTGGAATTTGAGTTGTCTTAAATTCTTAATTTGTTTGACTTCATTATATTTTTGAACCTTATATTAAGTAGATCTCATGTAAACTTAATTAATTTTTTTTGGGCTTTAGGCTTTTATATATAAATGAATATCATATATAAACTAAATAGATTTTCACTTATTAATTAATCTGTGAATTTAACACGAACACATAAACAAATTTTGTTCACGATCAGGAATCTGTTTGAGATTGATTTGTTTATGAAACGAGCCTTTAAAATTTATTTGAGTTTGGTTCGTTTACTAAGTAAACAAACATGAACCGAACTATTATCGAGCCAAACTGAAAATGTTCTTGAAATATTTATCGAACACTTAATTCATTTACTGCCCTTATAATTACAATATATTATTTTATGAAAGGTGGGTGTAATTGGCTACCAACACAAGTAATGAACTTTTTCTGCAGTATTGATTAAAATATTTTGGTATCAAAATAAAATGAATGAAAATGCATTTTGGGATGGATAGCCGTCACTTCTCGATTCTTTCCGTATTTTGTAAGGTTGACGTATTTAAAAATATATAATTAAAAAACAAAAATGTAGGGTGGGAGGGGTTGTTTTTCATTCTAAACTTTAGGAAGGTAACAACTAGGGGTGGTAAATGGACGGATTAGAACGGGTTTGGGTTGGGTTAAAAATGAACGGGTCAATATGGGTTTAAAATGGGCAGAATCATCCCGTTCGGAACAGGTTAAAAACGGATAAAATCAACCCGTTATGACCCGTTGACTCATTAATTATTATTTTTAAATTTTTTAAATCATTTTTAAGAAAAAATTTCACCAAAACTCCAACACTTGTCTGATACCTAATCTTATCCCTATTTTCAAAAACAGAAGAAAAGGGAAAACTGAAAAATAAAAAATTAAATAAAACTCGGTAGAAAAATAAAAAATCCCGCCTCCACCAGCGGTGGCATCAGCCGTTTTAAGCATCTAATTTGCATTTCAAGTAAAAGATTGATGATGAAAATGCCTTTAGAACAAAGTAAGCTAGTGAGTTACGGATCAAAGTCCTTCCCGCACCCCGTGGTACAAACTCATCACATTTACAATGATATTTAACCATTATACTGATTAATGTAATGTAAACTCACCAATAAAATAGTTAAAATTGACCATTTGAAATTCAAAATACAAGACTATATTGTCTTAATGAACAAGTGTATGTGCACCATTAGACTTACAATGCAAACTACTCTGAGATACCTGTTCTGGATGTAAATATTGGAAGGTATTTTCGCCGATTCGCAGATTCCCAACATTCCCAGTACTTCTTAACCTTTGCAAAGTCCACTTCGCTCTGCATTGAATCAACCTTCAGAAAATTACCCGTGTGCAAGTGACTATGTGAGATGGAGGATTGGCTGGCACCCAGCGGTGAATTATGGGCATTCTAAGAGGTCCGACACCACCATTCTTTTGTTCGTCATAACTCACCCCACATTGCCAGCCTCCAATGCTTCTAATTCGAGCTAACTTTTGGTGGTCCACCCTCGATTTGAAAACCGCTGATGAAGCGGCCGTGGTCAGTTGTGAATGTGAGAATTCAGATATACAAAATGGAGGGAGAGAGTAATAGGAAACTTAAAGTTAAAAACGCAAATAAATGGTGTGGACTCTTGGTATTACAAATGCGAATGATATGAAAAGAAAAGAAATAATTAATAGTGTGAAGTGTAGTTGAGAAAATCACACTATCCTTCAAAAAAATGAGAAGTTCTAGAGAGAAATAACAGTATTTAAGTAGTACTATCATACTCCCCTGAAACTACTCTCAATAATTAAAAGAAGAAGAAATTAGTCAGAACTGCACTTAAAGTCCTATCCATAGTTGTTAAAGGCTCAAGGCGCACAAAAGCGCAAATGCCTCCTGGAGCCTGAGGCGCAAGGCGAGGCGCGCGCCCGACTGAAGCAAGGCGCACGTTGGAAAAAAAAAAAAAACAAAACCCACCCAATAAAGTATTAAAGATGCAAATCATGCAATAATAAATAGAAAGATGTAAAAGTCAACTAAATGAATTACTTAAGTTAAATATTCAACATAAAGATGCCAAAACCAAGTAAATCAAGTACTTGAGTTCAAAACAGTGAATAATCAAACATATTACCATAAAGATGCAAAAGTCAACTAAGGAGAAGTATAAGATAAAACTAAAACAAACATAAACATCATTCTTCCTAAGAAGACAACACCAATGAATCTAAATATCATCCTCGTCATCAATAAGCATAACATCATTTTGATCGTCACTAAATGATTCATAATTCTCAGGATCCTCTTCTATCTCATCTGAATCATCCTCATCCTCATCCACAAGTCGAACTGAAGAACTTCCTGCTCCCTTTGTTGGTAACCGTGAACTAGAACTAGATTTTGATCTAGTAGACCGTTGCGGCCTGCTTGCCTCTCCAATACCAGCAAAATTAGCAACATCACCCCATGTCAAGGAATCATCTTCATAGACTAGATCATGTTCTGCATCAGAATCATCCATCCTCCCCGTCAACCACTCGTTGCTCTCATCAATGTCATCGAGTAAAATGGGATCAAGAGTGTCACGCATATTATATCGACGCCTCAATGCTCTATTATATTTGATGAACACTAAATCATTCAACGTTGTTTGAGCGAGCCTATTTCTTTTCTTGTTATGAAGCTGCAATAAATTCAACTTTAACTAGTAAGTATAAAAAATTAAAATTTTAATTTTCAATAATTAAATTACAAACCTAGTTAGTAAATAGTATATACTTACATGCTCAAACACGCTCCAATTTCGTTCACAACCAGAAGAACTGCAAGTAAGGCTTAAAACCTTTATAGCAAACTTTTGGAGAAGTTTTGTTGACTTGCCATAAGCTTCCCACCAATTGGCTATTAAAAAAAAATTAATAATGATGTTTAGCAACTTTAGCTTCATCTTTCTATCGACTCTATTGTCAAAATAATTTTAACACTTCGCTATACTAACTTAATATACTTTACCACTTTCCCTGGTCCTCGTGTACTTCTCTGTCTAATAGCAAAGGGATTACCAAAGAGGCCCTCAGCTTTAGAATATAAGGACAGCTCCTCAGTAATTTTGTCTTGGTCTTTGACATCCGGGACTAACCTTGCAATGCATGCATACAAACCCTTTGCAATCTCTTCATCTTCTTCAATTTTCGAATTTGAATAAAAATATTCTGGGTTCAAATAATAACCTGCTGCATGCAAAGGGCGATGAAGTTGAACATTCCACCTCTTATCAATTATTTCAAAAATATCTGAGTATTTGTCTTCTACTCCCCCAAATGATTTTGCAATGGCTTCTTTAGCCCTATCCATAGCCGCATAAATGTATCCCATGGGAGGCTTTCTCTCGCCATCAACTAATCTCAAAACCGGAATAAGAGGACCAGAAACCTTAAGGCTAAAGACAATGTTGTTCCAAAAGGAAGGCATCAAAACATAAGAAGCAACTCTTTTACCGGCTTCCTCTTTCGCCCATTTACTACGATTCCATTCTTCTGAAGTAAACATCTTTCTCAAGTTATTCTTTTGCTTGTGAATACTTGATAATGTGATGAAACATGTAGCAAATCGAGTCTTAGCAGGCCTAAGCAACTCCTTTTTGTGAGTAAAGTTCCTCATAATGTTCAACAACTTTGGTCGCATATAAATATAACTATTCAACTCCACTGCCCTCTGCATTGTTCTAGAGATAGACGGTATTTTCCCAATGTCTTCCAACATCAAGTCTAAGCAATGAGCAGCACATGGGGTCCAATACAAATGTGGGTGTTCTTTCTCTAACATCCTCCCTATTTGAAACCAAACGGAAAAAAGAATAAATGATATAAAGAGAATGAGTAAATCAAAATTGATTTAAATTATATATTTGTAAAGAATGTAAATTCTAAAAGTTATAAACATTGAACATTCTTACCGGCATATTTATTGCTTGACTCACTATCTGTGACGACTTGGATGACATTTGCTACTCCAATGCGGTTGACAAATTTATTAAGTAAGTCAAACATCTTGTCACCATCATTTGAAAAAGAAGAAGTATCTATCGACTCAATAAACATGGTTCCCCTTGGACTATTTACTAGGAAATTAAGCAATGTTCTCCCTCTCTTGTCTGTCCACCCATCTGCCATTAACGAGCATCCAAATTTTGACCACTCCTCCCTATGGTCATTCATCAAAGCATTGGTATTATCCAATTCCTTCCTAAGCAAAGGAATTCTCACCTCATGATAACTAGGTGGTTTCATGCCAGGACCATATTGTCCAATTGCTTCAACAACCTCGGCAAAGCTATCATACTTAACAGCATTGAATGCAATTCCTGCATCATACATCCACCTTGCAAAAGCAGCACACGCTCTTCCTCTCAACTCTTTCTTGCATGCATCATTAATGGCTGTTTGTTTTCCCCCCTCCTTTCTTTTTTGTACCACAATTTCCGGTCTGGGAGTGAAATATAAATCAATCGGTCCCTTTTGCTTTTGCACCTTTGAGGAATTGACACTAGCACTGCCTGCACTGGCTACCCTTTTTCCTCGATTGTTAACTTCCATAATGTCATCCTCATCCTCTCCATCAATGAAATTAATTTCATCACTAGGTAACAAATTCATTTGATCTTTTTCTTCCTTTTTCTTACTCATGTACTCTTTGATTTCTTCTCTAACACTAGATGGGCATCTTGGGCATGCACTCACATTTCTATACCCTCCAGCGAAGTGTTGTTTAGCTCGATAAATACCTCCTTTTGTAACTTTTGCACAAAAGTTACAAGTGACGGCATTTGTATCTTTCGGATTCTCCAAATGTGAGTAATTCCATGCCGGATCCTTTCTTGAACCATCACTAGGCATCTTTTAAAGTACAAACTACAATCAAATTCAAGATAACAAAATAATAGCATCATGTAATCAGTGTTTGCAACAACTCTGGCAAATAAATAAATAAATACAGAACTTCAAAGCAATTAGCAATATTAACATTTCAATTTAAAAAAATAAATACAAAACTTTGGCAGAATGCAAAAAACAAAATATTATTCTTTAAGGTCTCATACTCTCATTAGAATTTGGTCACTAGCTCAAATTGGATGCATGCTATGATTTTATTATTATTATTAAATGGTAAACTCTGAATGTGCAAATCCGGATATTGAATAATTTATTAACTTTTCATTTGTTTTATTTTAATTTATTATTATTATTATTATGTTCTAAGTAGACACTGACTGGGAAAATTCATTGTGTCACATTGAGTCGATTCTTATAATGCCTAATATCTGAAGTAATATTTTCCAATTCTTCGATCTAATATAGGGGAGACTTTGTGACTCTACTCTTAACACTCTTGGCCGCTGGATGCCCTTGTTTAATGCAGGACTAAAGGAAAGATTTGACTATGTTCTGCTTTTGTCGCATTTCAAGAAATTTGGTTTGATATGGATTAGAGAATATGCACATAGTTGCTATGTTTGTTACAACATTTTGACATATCAGTTAAACTGCAGTTCGTTATTCATTCTCCCAATACTACACATTTTTGTTGTTTACTTGATCGCCTAAAGAAAGGATACGGTTTACCAACGGTTTAGTATTGAAATATTTCTAGTGAGCTGCGTGCCTCTGTGCACGCCTAAAACCTTATGCTTCGAGTGGGAGATCATGCTGAAACAAAGAGGGTCATGCCAGGTATGGTCCCGTTAACAAAGGATGCTAATAGACCACTCGATGCAGACCTAAACTTTGATCGGATATTGAATGTGCAATGCATTTCCTCAAACCAACAACATGTTAGAATGGAACAAATACAACTTTTCACACAAATAAATCAGGTTAATATAAAGTACCTCACACAAATAAATAAATAAATAATAAAAAAATGAAAAAAAAAATAAAAAAACTGGAGTAAGAAAAAAATAATAATAATAATAAAAAGAAGAAAAAAAAAAAAAATCTGCCAGGAGAGAGCCGAGACTGAAGAGAAGAGAAGAAAAAAAAAAAATCTGCCGGTGCCAGGAGAGAGCCGAGACTGAAGAGAAGAGAAAAAAAAAAAAAAAAAAGAAAAAAAAAAATCTGCCAAGAGAGAGCCGAGACTGAAGAGGAGAAAAAAAAAAAAAAAAATTACTGGAGAAACAAAAAATAAATAAAAAAATAAAAAGAAGAAAAAAAAAAAAAAAAACAAATCTGCCAGGAGGGAGCCGAGACTCAAGAAAAGAAGAAGAAAAAAAGAAAAAAAGAAAAAGAAGAATAAAACTGGAGGCAAAAAAATAAATAAAAAAAATAAAAAGAAGAAGAAAAATAGAAATAAATGACATAAAATGTCTAGCAAGAAAGAGCCGAGAGGCCCCAGGGCCCAGACTCGAGAGAAGAGAAGAAGGAGAAAAGAAGAAGAAAAAAAAAAAAAATCTGACCGAATCACCGATCCGGCAGATCTGAGAAGAGAAGGAGGAGAGAAGAAGAAGAGAAGGAGAGAAGAAGGAGAGAAGAAGAAGAACTAACCTGGAGAGAACCGACGCAGATCCGAGAGTCAGAGTCCCGAGTGAGTACTTCGCTGCCTCTGTCTGTGTTCTTTTGCTTCTCTGTCTGTGTTATTTTCCTTTGCTTCTCTTTTTTTTTTCGTTTTTTATGTTGCAAACTTGCAATAGGCTGACTACAGAGTCACAAACAAAACATAAAATAATAAGGAAAATAAGTTAAAAACAAACGTTTCATGCGGGGCGCGCCTTTCTAGCGCCTGTAGCCTCGCGCCTTGATCGTAAAGGCGCACGCCTTGATCGTAAAGGCGCACGCCTTATATAACCCAACCGCCTTGAGTAGACTCAAGGCGCTAACCTGGCGCCTGGAGGCGCCTTGCGCCTCAGGCGCGCGCCTTCGGCGCCTTTGACAACTATGGTCCTATCTTTTAAAATGGTAGGATAGTGTTATTCTTTCTTTTATTTCTCTCCTCATACTTTTCCAACCAGCAATAGTATCATTTCATTTCTTTTCCTTCATAATTTATCAATGGATAAAGGTTATTGCTATCATTTCTTTTCTTTATTTTTCTCTCATAATTAATGCTATTGTTTCTTTTCTTTTCTCTCACGTTTATCCAAACGAAACCTAAAGAACATAAATTCTCAAACCTTGGTCAGGGCTTGGGCTGAAAAAACCCAATCAGACCTAAATTTAGTAGGCGTTATCAGCGTTATCAGGAAAGTCCTGAACAAATAAATATTGGGTGCGCCCGGCGCACCTTGCAACGGGCTCATCCAAGCCATAAGTGTTGTAAACTATAGAAGCCCTGAACCATGATTTATTAACCTAAAGAGTATTTCTTGCAGGTTGCAAGAAACTTTCCCATTCTGAACTAAGTATATAAGCCGTGTTACTTAAAGGCAGGCTGACATTTAATTCTATTGCTCTATAAAAGGCTTGCACTAAACCACAAATCTGGAATTTAGCTTCTAACTGAACCAATTAGAAAAAGAGAGAGAGGACGTTTTAGAAGGGTAAAAATATAAAAAAAAAGGATAAAAAGAGATAAGATACTGCTTTCTTTCCTCCCACCTCGGGAGGAAGGGAGACGCCCAACCCAAAGGAAAAAGACTTCTCTCCTCTTTTAATTTTCCTTCCCATTGTCCTCTACCAAAAGACAAAAAGATCTTGCATCACTCTCCTTCCCATTTTCCCTCCCAACCAAATAGGTTCTTCGTGTTCTCATATGCTGAGAGAATGGAATGTGGAAATTGTGCAAAAAAAATTTAATTGTAAACAGTTGTCAAGCATAGTGATAATTCAATGGTCACCTATGTGGTCAGTGAGCTTGTTTCATGATGATTATAAAAACATAGCAAGGTAACCAATTAACTGGAGATGATAAAAATCCAAAAATTAACTGCAGTCTCAAATCTTGTTCCACTCCCATTTTTTAAACTACTTCTAATGAAAATCATAAGGAAAGCAAGGCCATAGTGGCTAAGAAGCGGCCACCATAATACTACATCATAGTCCAACAAAGACACAAACAAAGTCACTAGCCTGAAAAATCAGGCAAACGAACAGGTAGATGAACTGAAGAGAAGAAGTCCATAATTTGCACTCACCGCAAGAATCAGGAAGACGAATGGGTAGATGACACTGAAGAGATCAATCCCATGAAATGCACTCACTTCAAAGATCTTCCTACCTCAAGCTGGATTGAGGTCCTTTCTACATTTCCCAAAAGTTTCTTTCCAGGAGTTTCAGAGCAAATGAACTTGAGACCTTGTTAGACCTGTTCGCCATAAAAGGAGGTCAACAACACAGTATTGAAACAAATAAATTGTTCGATTCAGTAAAAGTGCAATCCCCTGAATAAGTGTAAAAATATTTTTTCCAAGGTATTGGCCAACATATTCAAGCCATCCATTGATCATATTATACCTCCTTATCATAGTGATTTAAGCTCAAGAAGCCTTTCATTACCGTAGAAGATAAAACCGCAGAAAGAACTAGCCTTAAAGTTAGTAATGAACTAGGCATTTGATAAATACCAAATCGAAATTTTCAAAGCAGCAAATATTTCTTCTCCTCAAGATTTGATATTCTAAAACCTGCAAGTGACCATCATAAACAGATGTAAAGTCAAAGTTTTGATAGAAAAATTATGCCTTCATTCAAAATACTCAGGTCAAGGACTGAATTTTCCTGCGACTGTCCATGATCTTTATAATATTAGCATTTGATTGAGGTCATTGATATTTCAGGACAGTCAATCATTGGACTTCTTACACACACACACACACACAAGGGCGGAGCTAGAAATATTCATTTGGGGAAGCCAAATTAGTAATATGAAATTAACATGTAAAAATATTTTAATACATGTGTAACCTTTTTTTTTTAATGACACAATACTTGATGTATATTTATAACATGTCTATTATGAGGACACTTTCACTAAATTTGCATCCTTGTTATCTAACATCCTTATAACCAATAGATTAATAGGCTGACCTCTATAAAGGAGCGAGCTTAATGAGTGTTCTCACCACCGTGTCTCTTAATATAACCTAAAAAAATTAAGAATAATGACTTGAAAAGAAGAGAATACAACTAAAAATTTTGAGACTAAACTGATATTAGAAGAAAAAAATTAAGAGAACATTTCTGACAGCCAACAAATGCTGAATATTCCTTTTCTTCTCTCTTGAATTCATATAGGCAACAATAATGGACACTTCTTAATACTAGATTTGGATTTATAAAAGCAAGACTAAAAAGTTAAATGGATTTTGAAAGGTTCACATGTAATTTTCTTTTGCAAACTCACCATTAATGGGTAACCACAAATAGGATATTAAAGAACATTTGGGGGGCCGCATAATTTTCTGTTGTAAACTCAAAATTAATAATCATTAATCGATAACTGGTAAATAGGATTTTGGGGGAAATTTTTTTGTCTCTGGCCCTGGTGTTGAAGCCTTACTGAAGAATTGGGACTTTGTCTTCAATGGGTTCAAATGGTAGTGCAGTGCACATGCACAGTTTCTACAGCATTCAGCATTGTGAAAAAAATGGTGAGCATCAGGAACTCTTTTGCCCTCAGTGAAGACTAACATAGGCGGACTCATTATCTCCCAAATATCTTTATTCTGTAGGCAGAGAATTTCTCATCTCTCATGGCCCAGGGCCTCAAGTCAGAAATATTTGGTGTGAATTAAGCTTGCTAGAAACTAGCCTTCAGTCTTACACTTGTTTGCTGATGACTCTTTATGCTGTAGCCTCGAAGTCAGAATGCTACTCTATGCTTGATACCCTAAACAAGTGTTCCTATACCTAAAAAAACCAATAATCCCCAACAAGTCGTGTAATCTTCAGAATTATCAACAAAAAAAAAAAGAGTCCGGTTTAATCTGCAGCGCCGAGATTGTCGCTACCATAGACATTCAAAATGAGCTGGCAACTAGAGTTGCAAGAATGAACAAGATGGGCAAGTTGGGTCTTCTTCAGACTTCAAAAAGTCAATTAGAACAGATCCTTAGCTTGGTGGACTAAAGGCTATGGAGCAAAGGAGAATACTGAAAAGAGGATGTTGCTACTTAGCTGTCGGATGGAAAACTTTCTCAAATGTATAGAGTCCCATCCTAAACAGTTATCAACCAATATTACGACTCAAGGAATTCTGTTGATAGCAACATCACAGTGCACTTCTCAGAACACCTACCAGAATCCAGATTAACATTCTCTTCAACTAGTTCTACCTTTCCTGGCAATGGAGGACGGATTTGAGAATTGAGACTCTCCAACAATAAAAACACCTTACTTATTTGTATAATTGTGTATCATGGCCCAAACAATTTTCTTCTCTAAAATCAAGGTCTCTTTTTGGGTGGTTGAGTCTTGTCTTAGTGGGTTGCACGGCACATAGCAAGCTAACTAAACAATAGAAAAAATAAAGCTTTGACATCTAGCACTGTCATTGCCATGCAAAGTTGAAAAAAGCCATTATTGAGAGATGGAAGTTTCATTAATTAGAAAAAGAAATTAGCAAAACTAAACTAAATTTGAAAACAAAGATAGAGGAAGCAGCAAAGCATAGATGAACTCATACCGATATGATGATACACACAAGATTTTTGAGGGGTTCCATGTTTATGTTTCAGTAGAATAATATAATTAAGTTTCCATCTATAGGGTAAAAGAATTGATTGCTCAAGCATAATGTTACCTAGGCCACAAATCAGAATGCCACAAAGGATAACCATGCAACAAAGGGAATCAAGTTTCCGTGCACTGCGAGAGCTAATGTTTTTAGGGACAAATTCCCATTAGAAAGCACAGGAGGTAATGTTCCTCTATCTGATCGGTTTAAATACCTTGGCAATTAATGCATTATTTATTATTAAGCTTATAAGGGGGGAAGAAGCAAATAAATAAATAAAAGCTTTTCATTCTACTGGTATTTATATATATGGATAGCTTAAAGAATATGCACCAATTGGTTACCAGGACAGAGTGAGATTGAGCTACATTGGGATGCACAATATAACCTCGTTTTTCCAGTTCTTCTGCTACATCCATGGTATCTTTCCCAAGTGCTTGCTTTTGGTGGAGGTCGGTCGTTAGACTCGTTACTGCAAGATGAAAGATAAATAGAAAAAGAAAAGGGTGATAGTTTTTTTTCACCTGAAATAATCAAATTATTCAATTCAAAAGGCATTGTTGGATTCCCTTCTGAAAAGTGCAGAAGAAACTTTTATCAGCTGGTATATCAAAGCACAGTTTGGGTAACTTGAGCAAATAATAACAACAACAACAACATCAATAATAAAAATAATAAGTACTATAAAAAAATAATTATTATAATGATAATTGTTATTATTGGAAAACCCATTTAACAGACAGAGGTCACAAGGAATTTTAGAACTTCACATTGCAGATGGCACAACTAGTATGTGTGCTAGGGAGAAAACAAAAAGGTGATTCCTTTGACATGCTGGATATACATTATGTTAAAAAAGAAAATAGAATTATAGAAAATGGATAAATTACAGAAAATGAATAAAAATAACTGCTGAAGTAACATCACTTATTTTGACTCCTAAAAATCAGTAGAACTAATCTATAAAAAATTAGCACATCTAACTTCTTCACTATAAGAGAAAGAGTGCCATTACTAAAATACATTAATGGAGTTAAGTTCAGCTGACATGTTGCATACAGCAAAATAGTTACCCCATAAACATTAAGGGTCAAAGGAAAATAATTTCTTAGCATTACTAGCACCCATTGTCAGACTCCCTGTAGTTAAAAAATGTGAATCCTTCTCCTACCGACTATGCTAACCATTTGAAACAGGCAAGAGAACAATTGCAGTGTATTGAGAACGTCTGCCTGCATGTAATGCTAAACCCTCTGCAGCTGCCATGTTAAATATCAAAGTACCCATCCAGCAACAGTTCATAATTTCAACATCAATTAGCAGCTTCAAGTTTCAGGTCCTCTTGAAAGATCTACCGCCTTTCTTTCTTACTCCAGTCCCCACAAGACCCGACGACAGAAGAGAGATGGAATCTGGCCTCCATTTCAACTCTTTAAGAACAGGAAATAAGGCTGCCAGTGCTGGGGTGACTTCACTATCCTTTATATTGTTACATGAAACTACCCTGAGCGTTTTGAGCTCTTTCCAAGAGTGAATTACAGAGTCCAAACCTTCCGCTGATAGTAATGAGCATCCATGCAAAGATAGAAGCCTTACCCTCCTATGAAATAAAATAAAAAATAAAAAATCACCCATCAAATTTTGATATTGAACTCACATAGGATGCTATGACTTAAAAAGAAAAATCAGAAACTCATTTCATTATCTTAATATGTTTCTAGGAGAACCAATCACAAATAGAAGAATAATGTAACTAAATCACAAGTTGTTTCCATCATGAACAGGCTAAATCAGCCCATTGTACTCCATAGTATTTACTGCTCAAATTTTAAATTCCCCTGCTCTGCAATGGTATCATTTTTCACTAGGGCAATTGTTCGCATAAAGTACTATAATTCATGATAGCTCACTATATAATGTGAAATAGTGAAATATAATGCTTGCCACAAACCATAATAATAGGATGAGGCTTTAATCAGATGCTGTCTGCCTCATGGCTTGGTAATTCTTGATAGGTTGAACATGAGAAATACAAGGTTGTCTGAATTTTCTTGCAACAATTGGTCACATAACTTGAATAGGACATTTTGTACTGCCAAATAACTTCACCTTATGGCTAGGTAATTCCTGATAGGTAGAACACGAGAAAGATGAGGTTGTCTGTTCTTAGATTGTGCCTTATGGAGTGTATCTATGTGTACATATGCAAGGTATTAGATATCAAGACACGGTTACATATAGAGTTTCCAGAACCAAAGATTTAGTGAAAGATATACTACCAAATATCACTAACATTTTTGGGAAATAAAGGAAATTCGCAACAAAAACTTAACAGACGTATAACCATGGACAGAACCAATTAAGGCCCATGGAGGCATGTGCAACCCTCAACTTTTAAAAAATTGCATTTTTGTATGTACAATTCTTTAAAATCCCCCCTCCCCCCTCAATTTTTGTATTTATTACATTATGCCATAAACATAATTTCTGGCTCCGTCCCTGCTTATAAATATCAATAAACAGGATATCCAAAGGCTATATTGACTGATATATCATAAATGTAGTGAATATTCCATTCTGCATACATGTAAATTAGTTTGCTAGTATGTTAATTCTGTATCATTCACTAGACAGAAAGAACAACCCACCAATTCTCAAACTCCTTACCTCGTCATAATAATAGTTATGAAACAATAACAGTAGAAGGCAGGTACTAAAATCAATCTCCACAGAAAAAATTGTAAAACTAACACTAAGTGACATTCTATAATATTCACCCTCTTTTAGAAAATATACGAGTTTCAGATCAATTAAATTAGGCAGCAAATGAGGGTCAACTCATACCTGCAAATGCTTGCAGAGCTAAATATATGGTTGTCCAATCCCCAACAGTCCTCAAAAACAAGTTCCCTAACTGTCTCACACACTAGAAACAGTGCTCTCACCCCCTGTTTATCCCGCATATGACAACCCTGCAAATGTAGTTCTTCAAGAGTGAGACAGGAACCCAAATGCTCATCAGGCCATGGACTTAGATCAATACTCTTGCAATGCTGAAGCTTTAAAGTCTTCAAATTTCCACAAAATGAAAGTGCCGCCAACCACCCACCATCCATTCTGTGATTGAATAGGGTCAGCTCCTCAAGCATTGGGCAGCACTGGCCAATAGCTTTGATCCCATCATAGCTCCCTTCATTACCAACCAGCTCGAGTTTCACTAACCGCCTACACCCTTGCGCCACAATTGTCAACCCAATGTCCGAAATCACTGCATTGTAAAACCCATCAACACAACCTATCAATTTCAAAATCTGTAAATTCTGGCACCCAGAAATTCCTCCCAATGATGAATCTGCACAACAATGCAACTCTAATTCCTGGAGAGTCAGGCACTCAGCAACACACGACAATGCTTCCTTGCTTGCACCAATCAGTACAAGCTTTCTCAAATTAGCGCACCCCTCAATGAGAATTCGCAACCCTGCATCAATTACATTCGAATGCAATAAATCCTGCTTCCTAATAAACCCATCACCCGAGAAGCCAGAATCGAGGTGAATGGATAGAAGTTTATGGGTCAACAAGATTCCTGAGTTGCGAGTCGACTGTAAACAGGCTCGAACAAGATCGATATCCGTGAGATTTGGGAACCGATAAACCAGACGACCAGATTCTAGAAAATCCCAATCTAAGAGCTTGACAGAGGAAACGAGTCGGCCGCTAAGTTTGGACCATCGTCTGCAGACCAAAGAATTAGAAATGTGTTGAGACTGAGGGAGCTTAGAGAGGATGATAAGGAGAAGCTGGTCGGAAAGAAGGGAGGTGGAATCGGGACCAGTAGGGTTGTCTATGGCTAGGGTTTCCTCTGGTTCTGATGGTGGCGTTCCAGATAGAGATTGCAATCGCGAATCAGATAGAGATTGCAATCGCGAATCAGAGAGAGAATGCAATCGCATTTTGAGAAAAACATGCTTGAGTTCTTGGTCTCTGAACCAGATGTCTGACCAGCTCGGACGTTTCTTCAACGGCGGCTGCGATTTCCCTTTTGGTGATAATGGCATTGATTAGGGCTAGGTTTTCGATAATTCGAATATGCTTCGTTTCGGAAGCTCGTTTGCAGCATCGCCCCCCTTCTCTCTAGAACTTCACAACCAAAATGTTATATGGTTTCTGAAATTAGGGTTTCGAATCAGAGCATTTGACTCTGCTTTGCTTCGAATTATAGATTGTTGCATTACCTCCCTCGACCTCTACTCTTTCTATATATGTGTATATATAATTTATATAATTTCACGAACAAAACTACAAAACCACCTAGGGTTTCTGTCAACTACACGAACCTGAATCTGCTAAGCTTCGACTGCTAGTTTTGCTGCATTACACCCTTTCTCTTTCTCTCTCTAGATTTTGAAAGGATCAGATTCGTGGGACGCACAGTTTCTCCGATGCAGTTGTTGTTATTATACTGAAGGGTTCTGATTCAATGTGTAAGCACCAAAGTTTAACTTACAGTGGCTCAATCACGTCCGTTCATATCAACTAAACCAATAAGTTCAAGCTATTATTATGACGTGGTTGTTTATTATTGGAGGATCATGGGAATGTTGTGTGAATTATTTTACAGGAGATCTAGTCTCTACTGGGTCTTTTTGTTATTATTGGAAAATGATTTAATAGATTTTCGATAATAATTGAAAGTACTATGTACTTATTACTATAATTGAGACCTTTCTTTAAAATTCATGAATAAAGTCTCACATGGCTGTATCTGATTGTCAAAGTGCCTTTAAATGGTTTTATGGAAAATTGGTTTTGGCCATTTGGTTGTCATTTGTGAATGAAACGGAATATCTTGAAATTTTTTTTTTTTTTTTAAATACTATTTATGGTTGTTGATTGAATTTTATTCGCATCTATTTTTATCCTCTTAAATGATATCAAATTAAATTATTAAGTACAATTAATTTATTTAAAATAAAGAATATATTTAGTATAAAAAAACAAATTAAAAAAATAAAATAAATAAGGAAAATATGAGAAAGAATAGATTCTTCGTTGCTTTCCGGTTTTTTTTTTATTATTATTATGATTTTTTTTTTTTTTTTTTTTTTTTTTTTTTTTTTTTTTTTTTTACAGTAGGCATTTAAGGAGTATTAACATAAGCAAGTTTTCGTTGGGCTTCAAACCTTCTTCACAACCTATTTTTGTAGGAGGTAAAAATTATACCACTCTAGTAAAAATTTGTTAATTCTACTTTCTCTTGTGCCATTAAAGAGAAAGATAAAGATACAAAAAGATAATTTATTAATTATATTTCTCGTGTGTCATAAAAAGAAAGATAAAAAGACACAAAAAAAAAAAAAAAAACACGTTAAAAAGGCATTTCCCAGTTTATTATTTCCTCTTCCACTCCTTTTTGGCATTTTTTCAAACATCTTATCAGCAGGGTCGCTTACTATCATACATATATTAAATTTTTATATATATATATGAAATAATTTATTTAATGCCTCCTCTAAAATTTTATTTTTAAAAATTACCTCAAAAATTTCTTCTCTATTAATTGATTGACATATTATTTTAAGTATTTTTTCTTCTTTGCTTCTTAATTTGAAGAATCTATATTTATTGTCATATTTATTGATTTTTTTTATTTTTTATTTTTAACACTGTGCCTCCTCTAGATTTAATTTTTAGCTCCGCCACTGATCTTATGTGCATTATGTATAAATGCATGTTAAAAAATGAATATTCCCACACTAAATTCATCTCCAAGTGTATCAAATGCATGTCAACTCAATGGCATTTTTGTATATAAAATAAAATTTTAAGGATAAAATAATAAATTTACAATATAAACAGCATGGGGAGTGGAGTGACCTCATCTCCATTCTCACCCCCACACAATTTTTTAATATTTGCCCTTACACGTCACCCAAGGTCATTTAACCATCTTTATAATCGTCCTGTATGGTACGAGATTGAATTTTGATCCAAATTCATTCGACAACTTAAATATAGATTAAAGATTTAATTTAATAACTAGTTAGCAGTGAGTCAGTAACCTAGTAATATTAAATTTTTACCTCCTAAAGGGAGTTCAGGAGTTCAAGTCTCAGTGAAGGCATGTGTAACAATACGTTAGTTAAACAATTTTGATATGATTTATGATCAATCTGATTGGATGTAATATACTAAACATTAACTCTTATAATCTAATTTTATTATATATTGACCATAGGGTAACATAAAAATAACCAAGTATTGACCAACCGCTAGATCTCTTCAACTTCCGTATGATGACAGGTCTGCGATAGGGATGGTGACATTTAGTTAACAACGATAATGGAAGTGGTTATTGATGATAAACCGAATCTTAACAAGCGAGATACATTCAACAGCCTATATCGACAAGAGCACCATAAATACAAGGAACCATGAAATGAGGTATGACACAAAAAAAAAATAAAAAAAAAAAAATACTCTATTTCACTTATTCACGGTTTAATTCTCTCTCTTTCTCAAACCCCTACTAACTTGATCGTCAGAGGGTCTTCGGGCGGTACCACATCGGTGCCTGACTCAGCCGTCTTTATTTTATAAGAAACGGTGTCGTACCAGGCTGTGCGGATTTCAACCTCAACATATATAATATGTAAATAATTATTTTCTCTTCTTATTCACTTCCTCTATTTTTCCTTACTCCAACAAGTGTTTATTCTTTAGCAAATGGTAAAAGATTTTTTTTCCCTATATATTTATTATTTGTTTTCTATCATTTTTATTCTAATAATTGTTTGTCTTTTTCTTTTGACATTAATTTATTTTACTAAAAAAATTAAAGAGAACTTCACCTTATCAGATCGGATATTCATTTAACAATAAATAAAATATGAATTCAATCACATAGTATTCGGTTATCGAATGGAAAAAAAAATTAATAATCTTATCAAATTTGGATTAGATCAAGGTTTGGGCTTTTCTGGCCAAGGGCCCTATAATGTTCAGCTTGCTGAAACTCATGTGCATACTTTTTATTTATAAAATTTGCTTAGCATTTAAGGGTGGCAATTTGCATTCATAGGTCATAATCGTGTTGATATAAGGATATTATACTTAACAAGAAAATCTAAACTCGACCCATTTAATAATCGTGTCAGAAACACTCAACATTAATCCGACCTGTTTATTAAATAGGTAAAAATGACATGTTTATTAAAATGAGAGATTTAATATTCAATTAAATAAATTGTCACAATTAACCAAAATATTCAAAATAAGAAGAAGAAACATAAGGCGTGGTCAATATTTATATTGAAATGACTTAATTGTCTATAAGAATTAGATTTAAACAGGTAACATATTACACATGTCATATTAATGATTATAACATGCTAAGTTAAACGGGTATAAACAGATTACATGGGTTGACTCTTCTCAACCCTAACCCGACACGATTAAGTAATGGGTTAATCATGTCAATTCGCTTATGACCCGAACCCCGTTTAAGGTTAATCAAAACCTGTTTATCTCGTGTAGTATTCGAGTCGTGTCGTAATTTGCTACCCCTATTAATATTCCATAATAAACCAAAAAAAAAAAAGATATAAGAAGAGAACGTAAAAATGTAATGTTACCAAATTTTTTCATTTTTCAATTTCTAAAATTTTCTGTTTTTCAAGGGGTATTTTCGTCTTTTCTCATTTTGCTTGCCGAACACCGAGGAGTGTGCCAGTTGTGTCCGAGAGTTGGTTGGGGCATTTCACTGAGTTCGGAACCCTTTGAAATGTAACGGTTGCCATTTTTGCATTTTTCCCTTTTTCGGGCCTGACGATTCCATGTGGGACCTGCTACCAGAATTGTTACGTACGGGGGTGTTAGTTGAGTCCATATGCATCCCATGCATATTATTTAATGTACTTTATGTGGGTTTTATATAGTTTGTATGTGTATAAATGTGTGGTACACAAAGAAAAAAATAAATAAATTAAAATGAAATTATTTTTGGTGGTGCGACCCACCACCCCTTTTTAAAAGCCAAGAGGCCATTTAGGCCTCTCATTTCTCTTCCTCAACCATAAGTTTCTCTCTCCTTCTCTTTTTGATTTTTTTTTTCTTTTTCTTTTGGTTCCAAATTTCAATCATTGATTTCTCCTTCACCTTTTGGAGTTTTTGGATGCCGTTTGCAGCAAAACGAAGAACGCGTCGAGATCTTCAATTTGATCGGAGCAAAAGTAATTTTGGAGCACCCTAGAAATTTCAAATTTCTAGGGCTTGGATTGAACAATTTGGGGGTTTTTTTTTTGCAATTATTGAGGTAGAGGTCTCTAATCCATACAATTTTGCACCTTTGTGAGTTAATTTTACTTTATTAGTGTCCTAGTATGCTAAATTGTGTTAATTGCTCTTTAAAGTGACTTGATTGTGTATATGAAGTATATGAGTATGTGTATTTAATTGAATTGTATGAAAAACATGCCTAATGTGTTAATTTTCTATGCCTATGGTGCTATTTATCTTGCTAGAAATTGCTATAAGGAAGCATGTTAAATTGTGTAGTGTAAATTCATTTATCTTCACATTATTAGAAACGTATGTAACATGCATTCATAGCATTGGGCATGGAAGAAAAGGGCAAAATGATTTGAAGTGAATGAAAAAGGGAATTTTGGGAAAAATATTTGATAAATGGATTTTGTGAAAACTCGGACGCCAAAAGGGTACCGAGGGTCCGTGACGTTAATGTAGCCTAGAGGGAACTAAGGAGATCGCCCTAGCGTGGTTGAACTATATAAGCCTTAAATGATGCCGCAGGGTTACCAAGGGTCAGGGATAGTAGCCAATTCTTCTCTCGTGTCGCCAAGGGGGTACCGAGGGATGGGTTACATTAACGGTTTGAAAAGTGGAGAATGGAAGAGATTTTGAAAATAGGGAGTGACACACATGGCATTGCATTTCATGGCACGACATTGTTTATTTTTAATTTAGAATTGACGTTGTATCCTTTCCCGGTGTAGCACGACCCCTATTTTCTATTTATATTCATTGTTTGGATTCACGATATCACAAGAGGTGTGTCTTAGGCACCACCTACTGAGCAAACTTTGCTTACCCCTTTATAATTAACATTTTTTAGGGATCAGAAAGGATGTAGTGGACGCTGACCCTTCACAGGCATAAGGAGGAATAGAAATCCATTTTTGACATCTATTGTGTATTTGCTATTCTTTTGTAAAGTCTCAAATCTTTGTAAAGTATATTTGTTTCGAAAATCAAGGCCATGTATTGTAATTATAACTTTTAATGGTATTTTGATATAAATTGAGACTATGTAATTATTTTAGGATGAATAGGGAATAAAGTGTATTTTAACTAATTAATGATGACTTTCAATTGTATAATGTCATGCTTTGTTGTCGTGAATTCGGA